AACATAACCGCCCACAACAACTTCGATGACCACCTGAGGTGATAATTATTTTTCTCCTGAAAACAAGAAACACCCAAGGATATACATATGCTGACTCAAATATATATTTACACACCTTTTCCAGACAAAGAGCCAGTGAAGAAAAACATCAATAAGCTTCTCTTCCTATCCTACCACACACAGCAGACACTATAAACTTATAGCAAAAACAGTTTACACAGCTACAAAATTTGTGATTCGATCCTATGAAAGAGCTAAATCACAAATTTCAATTACTACAACATGTCTACACAACACATAATGCTCTCCGACTTGGCAAATAGATTTTGTTTTTTTTGCAACACATGGGACCCCAAAAAGAAACAAATCACTAATCACCTTTCAATTACTGCTATATTGGTCTGTCAGTAGGTAAACAACATGCTCCTCATCTCTACTATCTTTTTGTTTGACCCTGCAGTGTACGTCAACATCTTGAGTCAATATACAGACTTGTGATAGTCATTTGAAAATATTGACTCTAGCAAACAACAAACACAGCACCCTTATGCTCGACTTGATCTCAACAGACAGATATATCAAAAAACTTTTTCCAACAAAACAAAAATACAACTCCATTTCAAATTGTATTAACATTGTTTCTTCTGGGCTCATCAGATAAAGTGTGACAAACCTCAAAATGTGACTCACTGTCCTTTTTTTTTCATTCTGAAATGATGTCACTCTGATGTAATGGAATAACCTGTCACCTCCATGAGTGACTACACTATAGGTAGTGACTACCTATAAGTATCTGTATGTCAACAGACTACAGAGTCTGGCTGGGATCTGTTGAATATGACTCAGACTTCCGTGAGAATTACCGACCTTCTAATAGTAGCACTCACTACTGGATTGACTTGTGACGACCTTGTGCATAACTGTTACCTTTATTCTTATTGTACTGGTTTTTTACAATAAACCTTTACTTATTTTATCCACCATGTTTGTCAAGTATATATTCCTATTAGCATGGAATATAACACACTCAAACAACACTAAGAATTTGCAAGTATGATATAGAAATTGACAATAATGGCAAATTTCTTAAATTCAAACATGCATTTGACACTTGGTAGAAATTCTACATCAGCAGAATTTTGCCATAATGCTGCTTTTATTAAATTTTGTACACCAACATCATCCACTTCATAGAAAACAGAATGACAAAACAAATTCAATGTGGAGCATTGGAAAAAGAGAAATTTTAATAGCAAACACTGAACAATTTACACTTCCAACACATCTTCCAGGCTGTGCTATAACTCTGACATGCTAGAGAAAATAATACAGCACCATAATGATAGCACAAACACATTTTTATCGACATGTTTAAACACACATCTTAACCACACTTCTGACACCTTTTCTTTTCAATTCACAAGGACAGAAACAAACCTATCAAACTTTACATATGGGCAGAAGAAAAATTCTCCCCACTTGGAGGGGAGTATTATCGAGTTAACTCCTCCTACTCACCATAAACCACTACTAGGAGACAGTCTCTGGACTATAAATACTCTGCGATAATTTTTCATAGCCTCTTCTTATGCAGAGAATGTGTTTCCCAAAGGGAAACGCAAAAACTAACCACACATACACAACACACATACATATGCACATTCACTCACTTCATATAGCGAGTCCACCATCTTTTCTTGTGGGTATTTCAGGAGACATGTATTATTCCTAATTTCAAATACAGCTGTTTCTAATGCCCACAACAAGTTGGGAAATGCATAAAAACCTGTAACAATAGTAAGGCTTATCAGTCAGACAATGTCAAAATGGCAGCCAATGTCCAAAATGATCTCAAGTCTGTTGTTAACTGGGGTAAAAGATGGCTTGTTAATCTCAACACCTCCAGAACTAAATTCTTTCCATTAATCATCTGTGGCACCCCTCACTGCTTTCCATCAGTATGGCTGATGCTAAACTCCAGGAAAGTGACTCATTGCACCTTCTCAGACTCACATTCTCTGCTGACATATAGTGGAACGACTATATTGAATCCATTGCTAAGTCAGCTGCTAAGAAAGTTGGTTCATTGTGTTGAGCAAGACACTTTCTCTCTCCAGAATCTATCTTACATGTCTATAAGTCTATCATTCATCCAGGCTTAGAATATTGCTGCCATATATAGTCTGGTACCCCTGCTATTTACCTTCAGCTCCTTGATAAGATCCAAAGAAGAATCAGTAATATTATTGGTCTTGATCTGGCAGCTTGGCTTCAGTCACTTTCTCATCACTGTAAGGTTGCCTCCCTATATCTTTTCTATAAATACTTTCATGGTAATTGTTCAGATGAGCTCTTTGCTATGATACCTAACACAGTACTAGACTGATGTCAAGATCTCATCAATTTACAGTTGAGCTGGCTAGAGGTAACTGTAAGTTCTATATTAACAGTTTCTCTTCTTGCACTTCTCACTTGTAGAACTCCCTTCAGGCTCCATGCTTCCCAGCCAACTTTAATCTGCAAAAATTTAAATGCAATGTCAATTGCTCTCTACTGTCCTCCTGAATACTCTTTCCTCTTCCTGTTTATTATTAATGTTTCTGTTCCTAATTCTTCCACACCCTGTAATCCCTTGTGTTTTTTTTTTTTTTTTTTTTTGGCATTACTGTCTTGCATGGGGTGATACTGATTAAAAACAAACAAACAAAAAACACTATATTTTAAAGGGATTCCATATACAGTAAAAAGGGAAGTAATATTTATAAATGATGAGTGGTAAATGTTAAACAGATTTTTATAGTGTAATCCAATGAGGAAATAATTTTGAAAATTCACAAAAAATACTTTCAGAAATATTGTTTCAAAGCAAGCATTAAATCACAATTTTACAATGATATTCAGTTGTCCTATCAAAAGTATGTTTTCACTAGAGAAGTCTGCAATTTTATCTCCATACTGGACAGAGAGACTACTTGTAGAAAAGAGGATGCCTAAGCCTATTTTAAGAGTTCTTTTATAAGCAATACACAGATATATGTATGCTCTCATTTTAAATTTTTTATCAGTCTTATAAAAATTCTATGCTTTTTTATGTAGGGGAAAAAAACAGACCAACAAAATCTGATGCAACCAAGTTTGTCTTTCAATACAATATTGTCTGGATAAATGTCACCAATTAGCACAGATGGTGCCAGCAACAAATTTCTATAGCAATTGTGGGGCAACTAATAGGAAAAGTGATGCTCACTTATTGACTAATTGTAGCTTGGGTTATATGCATTGCTGGGTTTCTGGTTTTGTTTTCATTTGAGACAATAGTTCAGTTTCACAAACTGAGATTCATAATTGAGAGAAATGTCATATTTTCATAAGTTCAAAATCAGGGTTAATACCTATAAGTTTTGTGACAAACTTTCACAAATAACTATAGAAAGATAATCATAGTCCGACTAATGTAAATACTGTACATAATACCTCATCTCAAAAATATAGACAGACTCAGAAAGATAATCATATATCTCTCTAAACTTGTAGAATCTTCTCCATACTGCTTTTTCCCTTTCTTCTTCTGCTGTTTTCTTCTTTTTCACTGTTGACTTTTAGTTTTTCTTAGTTCATATCCCAAAAACAGCCCACAGTCATTTGCCCATGAAAACTAGAACCATTCTTGTCCTTTGACCAACCAGACTTCTTAAATTATCACAAAGTGGCTCAAAAATTGAAAACTATAGTGCATAAATTTACTTTCCCCATGAGTTAAAAAAATCACAAAATGTATCTCTTTAAAGCATGCCTATTTGCAACTTTATTTTGGCTTGAGCCTCTTTTTTTATAAATTTTTGATAAACAAATTCTATGCATGTATCTTTTTAAAAACTCTCATTCTTCATTTTGGCAGATATATTTTACAACATCAGATATTATACATGCAATAATTATAAACTGTCTGGCTTCATTTTTATATCTACCTTTTAATTATTTTTTATATAATTTTACATGGATTTTATTATATCAATTATAAATAAATTATATTATATCAATATCTTCTTTTTCTCAAAAGAAAGTTTAATAAACAATCTAGTCTATTGTATATTTTACTTACCCTTTGATTATTTTTATATAATTTTACATTTCTTTCTTATATAAATTTTTATAACTTTAGAGTAGACAAGCAACAAATCATTAACTCATGACATGAATGCTAGCTGAGCAAAATGCCAGTATCTTTGGCTAACACAACTAGCTAATAGGTATTCTTGACAGAATAACAGTAACTCCTATAATTGATGACCTTGAGAAAACAGTAATTTCTATGTCTGTTTAAAGATTTGGGACATGAGGGAATCAATTAATAGAATTATTATTTAGATATATTTCTCTATGTGTAAGATATTAATTTATAAAACATAAATAGTACATATATATATATATATATATATATATATATATATATATATATATATGCATGTTTTTAAAAATCTATTAAGGTAAGTTTTCAACTCTTCTCTTGAACATTGAAAAGTCTCTATGAAAAGGGTGAATATTAAACACAAATAAAATAAGTTGTATATTCTTTAACTAAAATATTTAATTTCAGTTCTTGATACTTTTAAACCCTTATGTAATGCATATTCTCCTTTAATCTGTACAGATCTCACAGGAAATTCTAAATTTAACAAAACCAAAAACAAAATAATTTAATTTACTCACACATAAATTCCTTTGGTATTTTTTTTAACATATAGTTTATTTTTGTTCATTTAATATTTTCATGTGAAAGTTATACTTTATGAAAACTTTGTTTTCTTTCTTTCATCATTTTTATTTTCTTTCTTTTATTTATTTATTTATTTTTATAAAATAATTTTCAGAATTGTGCCATCAATAATAAATTTAAATATATCATGAAATTTGCAGTTTCGCCAATACCAATCCAAAATTTGGATAGTATCCAAAAAGCAACATTAGAATCGAAAACGAGGCAGTTAACGCAAGCGAAGATGGCACATCATTGCTGTGTACCGCTTTGCAAAAACGATGCGCGATATGACCGGGAAAAATTATTGTCATTCCACAGCTTTCCAAAAGATGAAAAACTTCGGAAAGAATGGACAGTGAAGATCAGGAGAGATGAGGGTCCATTATTCCGGGTAATCTTCTTTTTCTTTTTTTTTTTAATTATGTTTTTCTAGGTGAGAAATCACAGTGCACGTGAAAACGTTAATGTTGCTTTTTGTGCTTCTTCCGATGAATTTTTGGTTATTTTTGCATAGATTATTTTATTTATTAATGCTTTAAGATCAAAACTAGTGTGTTGAGCAGATAAAGTAAAGAATGAAAAAAAAAATGATCTTGCCTCATCAACATCGGGTCGGTACACATTATTGTCATTTATTTTTATTTACGTACGAACATAGATCATTTATTTATTATTTACCAACAAAACAACAATCACACGCAAGTTTGAATTGTACCATTTTCGTGTACCTATGGCCTACCTGCATATGCATAATTTTTTCTATGTAGGTGTAAAATAAATCATAACATGTTGATATCTGTATGTATTCTTGCAACGATTGAATGGATCTATTATGTGCAGGTTCGTGGGTTACCCGATCGAGTATTATTGGCGACCGATAAAAAAAAAAAAAATCTCCGTCCCCACAAAAATTAAAATAAAAATAAACACAGTCAAATTTTAGCATCTTTAGTCTTTCAAAGTGAGGGATTGGAGCTACTAGAACTTTTAATTTTAAAAGATCGAATTTTCTCAACAAATTAAAAATAAAATGTTTCTCATTATGTTGAGAATTAACAGAAAAAAATTAGTAATAATAATTAACTTGAACAAATTTTCCTCTGAATTTAAATTTTCAAGTGAAGAACGTAATCCAGTTATTGCTTTACGCGACAGCAGCATCAACAACAAATAAATAAAATAACAATTAGCAAGCGAGAAAGAAGGCGAGTAGAGCATTGAGGTGGAACTGTGACAAGTGCCCCATGATCTACACACATTTTTATCTCTGGATCCCTAGATGTCCCAGCTAGCACAGAGGCCCGCTATCACTGTTAGTGGCCTTGGAAATAAGTTCGTTTTCACTCCCCCACCCCTCCTGAGTGTCTGACTAAGCAAAGTTTAGTAAATAAAAAGTCATTTCTCTCTTTAATTTCTTGTTGTTATATCACAACGTTTAGGCTGTTGTGCCTTCTGATTTTGATCAGATGTATCGATCCGGGTAAACTACAAAGAATTAAAGGGTTCAGTTTGGAATTCACTGTTATTCAAATTGATATACACCTGATGAAGGGTGGAGTGCACAACAGCCGAAACGTTGTGAAAAAAAACAACATAGATGAGGACAATAGTCCAAATGTAAATACTGTACTGTACGTGTACTGTAAAAATAAAATAAAAAATGATTACTAACGGTATTGGTCAGTAAGTAAGCAAAATATAATTGAAAGAAGTTTTTGTTTAGTGGTTTATCTTTTTTAAGGCTTTTGGAGCTAATACTCTTTTCTTTTTTTTTCTTTTGTACCAAATACAAGGACTATCTAGAATAGTCATGCTGGTGGGAATTTTTCAATTTTTTTTTTTTTAATCAATTCACCCGAAGCAAAGCAATATGCCACTAAGAAGCAAGGGGCTACTTGAAGTGAAAGAGAAGTAAAAGACCTTAGAAGTGTAGGGATACAAAAAGCGATTATCTGCTTTTGATGGAGATAAGTCACTCAGGTCATGTGACGGTTGCTTAGTGATGTCACTTCATACAGTGACAAAAGCAGCAATCAAATTCAGTTTGTTTTACAGCAGTTAAAACAAAAGGTTGCTTTATTTAATTCCCCCCAAGCAGCTTACAAGTCCATGGTGCTGTTTCTCTTTGGGAATGTATTTTTCCGAGGTATAGAATGAAACTCCAGCTTGCAGTCCTCAATTTAAGAAAATCTAAGACTCGCTGTTTCCCATTCATGAAATATGTCCTCACCTGGGAAATAGATGAAGATGGAGTCCTAAACATGGCTTCTCCAGACACAGGAGTATCTCGATATTATATGTAAGTCTCTTCCTTTTGGTTTCTCCTTACACTCTGCTTTATGTGATATATTATTCTCTGTGTGGAACGTATGTATATATATTTTTTGTGTATGTCTTAGTAGTATAAAAGTATTTCTGAGAACAAAGCATATTTGTCATTGCTTTTCCTTTCAGCTATTCCATTCTGTCAAAGAATTACAGTTTTATTATATCATGGATATAATAATGTCAATAACAGGGGAAATGTAAATGGGAGAAAAAATCTTTCTTCCATAGCTTTCCCCCATTATGGAAGGAACTAGATTCTAATAATAGTATAAATCTCCGAGTTCAGGCAGAGATGATAGTTTAGTGTTGAAGTAGAATTTAGAAGGAACTGAAAACCCAGTCTTCAACAGGAAAAAGGGATAATCCTCAACTTCTGTTCAAAAGATGGGGGAGGAGTAAAATAATAAACATTGCTGGGGAGTAAAAGTAGTACAAAATTAAAGCAGTTTCAAGGGTTAAACCATTCTGTTGATATACCATTTTATTGTGGGCACAAAGGCTGAATTTTGCCATTTTTATAAATTTGGGGTTTTAAGGTACATGCTTTTTTTTTGCTTTTTTTCTTATAATGTTAGCATTAAATGATTTTTGTATTTGTGGTTAAATATACAGCTGTAATACAAGTTTCCAAGCCCAGTAAACTATCCTTTAGATAACTGCAGCCTAGACAACTTGATATTATTGTTTTTAAGAATTTTTCACATTTAAGATATCAATTTTACTCTTCTAATTTGTGTGTGAGTTTATCGTGTGTTTGTGTGTGTGTAGTTAATTTTTCTTATCCACACTTTCACCTACCATGGTTTCAGTTACCTGTAATCAACCCAGAAATAAAGTATAAATTTTACTGAAAAGTGATACTAAAGTGCAAGAGTAGAGATGCCAGCAATTCAAATGCGTCTAAGAGAAGCCATGAAACTATCTCCAAGTGCAACATTGAAACACTGTTTCTCATACAATCACAATATCTTTTTTAAAAGATTAAAAATTTGAATGAAATGTCAATCGTTATCTTCTGTCTTCTTAATTCCTATTCTTTTATTGCTCTCTCTTCTTAATAATATTTTTCTTTTTTTTGATTTTGGACCTAATTTGTTGCAGATTTTGTCCACTTAACTGAAATAATCTAAAGCAAACATTCACGCAAAACAATTTGTGTTTAATATGTAATTTACATGACAAATTTGGAAAGTATCAGATGAAAATCAGGGGAGTTATGGCTGAAAAGGGGGCTTTTTGAACAGTTTTTCATTATACACAGGGAAGTAAGCAGGACTAAAACGATTATTTCTTGATGGCAAATTTTTTGCAACATGTTTGAAGAAAATCAGATAAAAAAAGAAGTTATTCAAGTTTTTAATTTAAATAGTATTAAAAACCCGATTTTTTTTTTTTTTACATTTTTTTTTGTGTGAAGCCAAAGTTGCAGGAAAACTATCAAGCACTCTACATAAACCTCGTAAGGAGTGTATGTATAAGCGACTGGGCAAACTAATTTTCTATCCAAGCAGCAACAAAAAATTTAAAAAATAGCTAAAATAAAATAAATAAAAGATGAAAATGAAAAATTTAACATTGACAAAGGTCAGACTATATAACTCGCATTCTCATTTATATGTACTTTTAAAAATTTTCCACTATAATAATGTTTGAAGTAATTATATATATATATATATATATATATATATATATATATATATATATATATATATATATATATTGCTCTACTTTTGTTTTGAGCAGTTTTTTTCAAAAGTAAATGCTACAAACTGTGGAGTCTTACTTCATCTATTCTGTCTCTTATTTGTGTGTATATATATATATATATATATATATATATATATATAATTATTTATTTAAAAATATGATTCCAACTCGTGACATAAGAGGTCTCATGTTTCAAAACAAGAGCTGAAAACTTCAATATAATTATTTGAATTAAATTGAGTTAAAGTAAGCTCTGTTCCATCTTCAAGCGAAATTTTTTTTGGAATAACTTATTTCTGAAATTTACATGTTTTAATAGTATATTCATAATTGAAATCAAAATTTCCATGGTAACAGCTAGGGCGAATTGTTTAAAATAGGTAGGGGTGTGTTGGGTGTTAGTAATAAATATCAGCATAGAGTTACTTTCATAGATGTCAAGTCAGGGTAAGGTGGGGGTGTCTAAATTTGAAACGCAAGATGTTTTCGCCTAGTCTGGTTTACGTGTCTATGGAGATTTATTTATTTTTTTTATTTTATTTCTTTATGAAAGGGATTTGTGCATATAAAAACTGCCGTAACATTTGTTTTTAGACGACTTCATAAAGGGTTCTTTTTTTGTAGGGTATTTCAACTATTTATTTGGGCTATGGATTATAAAAGTTATTATATTGTATGCTTGTTTTTAGCTAATTATTCAGTGCATAAATTTGATGATGTCGGCAAAAAACCATTAACTCATGTCTATTGTTTAATAGATTTTTATTATTTAGAAACTTAATGTGCAGTTTCTCATGGAGGCACAAAGGGCATGGGTCATCCCAAGCTTTACAAGTTCTAGTCCTGTTTATAATTTTCCATTTTACTTTAGGTGTCCTATCTATTTCCTTCAGATGCCAAAAAATATTTAGATAGGGAAGTCTGATTTCTTTTATTTATATTGTTGAAAGAGTACTTATGCTGCCTCCATCTGGCTTTAAAATCATTCTTCGTGGACCCAATGTATATCATATTAGTATTAGGACTCTCAGTGGATGATATAGTACATTGGTATACCGCAGATTTGATGCAGCATTTATTTTCTAATGGGCAGTCTTCTGGGTTTCTACAATTACATAATTTTCACTGTTATTGTCTGATTTAAGTGTAGGGTTTTTATTAATACTATACAGGCATGGGGGTTTGTTCAAGATTTTATTATTGTGTTTTTTTATTATACCTTCTAGATTTTATATATATATATATATGATGTATCAAAAATACTTTTTACAAACTTTGAGGGTGGGTTCCTTACACCAAAAATAAGGACAAAAGTTCATATAAAATATGTTCACAAATTCTTCATTTTTGAGTTAAGTTTAAAGAATGTTTACAGTAGATGGTGATCTATGTTGCCATGTAGACTAGGTTACATTTCATCACTATTATGGGGTGACATCACTAAGCGACTCTCATGTGACACACAAGAATTTATCCACCAAAGGGAGATAAGCACTTTCTGTATCCCTACGATCATCCATATCAGAGAACCTCTCAAAGACATATCATACAAGTTTAAATCCTATCTTAAGGCTACTTCTTTATTTCAGATCCCAACTGTATACTTGTGTTTTATGGCGTAATGGATAATAGCTCAGAATGTGCACATTCACCAGTCAACTTTGTCAAAGTTGAATAAAATGCAATATTAAATAAGAGAGGTTCGGTCTTGTGCTCTCATTAAAATGCCCAATTATACCATTCACATAATTATCATTTATATCCTGAAAACATCAGTTGTTTAATAGAAGATTTAGTGTTAAAGCATAACCTTATATAATAAAATTTGTAGTGTTGTGTTTGGTATTACTTGTGGTTTCAAACATTTTCTGCATGTGTAGCTTACAGCCATATCAAGTTAAGCAATGTTGAGCTTGGTCAATACCTATGTGGGTGGTTGTTTTAGAATATCAGGTGCTGTAGGACTTCCACTCAAACAAAGTCCAAATATGTTTTTTATCCAACTACATCTACTGGCCTGAATATTCGAGAAATATTTTCATAAAGAATACTGTTTAATTAAAAACAGCTTCAACTTGAATATGAGTATCCATCAAAAATAACGTTTAAACAAAGTAAATTAAAAATAACAATATGTCAGATTTAATCCATTTCCTAAAAACAAATTGTCTTTGTTTACATTCGGATACCATACAGAGCAAATATAATGATTCAAGAATTGGTAGAGAGATGTGTGTTCAGAAGGCACCATTTGGACTTTGTTTGACTGGAAGTCCTACGTGGCTGAGTGGTCAAGAATGTCAGATCCAATGACAGTTCTCCATAGGGATGCAGGTTTGAATCCTGTCGAAGGACACATTTTTCTGACAAGATTTCTTGAATATTTAGGCCAGTAGATGTAGTTGGATAAAAAAATTCTGTTTAATTAAAAAAAACAGAACTTCTACTTGAATATGAGTATTCATCAAAAATAATGTTTAAACAAAATAAATTCAAAACAAATATATATATATATATATATATATATATATATATATATATATATATATATATATATATATATATATTGTGTGTTTTTAGGCAGCATTTTTTAATTTTTGTCTATTTATTTTAAGTAAATTCCTTTCATATTGTCTGATAAGCTTAATAACATTATCATTGTAAGATGAAAGAAAAACATTGATACATGTTTTTTAATCTTATCTAAGCTTTCAGCTTACATAAGCCACTATCAAAGATGACAAATTACATTTCAATATATTAAACAATACACGGACAAACAATAATGATGGCCTGTTTTTGTTGCATGAAAGATTTCCAAACAACGACAAACTCGTATATATGAGACACGGAAACGAAAATCGCACCACCGCTCGTGACATCGCACATGACCACGCAAGAGTGAAAATGAGAAGTGTTAAGTATGGGAAGCCATTGATATAAACCAGTGGCTTCTGTTATCAATTATCGGCATTTAAGAATATTTGTGGAGATTTCATAATTTATTTTGTTCAGGTTAGATTCTCTCTATCCATCAACCCCAATTGTCGTTATTGATTTGCAAAAAATAGTTTACAAATTCAAGTGCCCTTTGGGAGATTGTATCTCCAGTGGATTCAATAATATTTAAGTTGGTCACACCGCAAACTTGCTTTCACAACACTTGACTCTACATTTGAATGATAACTCTAACATTTTTAGGCATTTAAAACAAAATGCCTAGCTGCATACACAATTCCAGAAAATCCTCGTTGAAAACACAAGTTTACTTCAACATGAAAACAATAAACAAAAACTAAAAATTCTTGAAGCTATATACATAAAACAGTTGAAACCTAACCTGAACAAAATAAACTATGAAATCTCCCCAAATATTCTTAAATGCCTATAATTGATAACAGAAGCCATTGGTTTATACCAATGGCTTCCCATACTTAACACTTATCATTTTCACTCTCACGTGCTCATATGTGATGTCACAAGCTGCAGTGCGATTTTTGTTTCTGCATCTCGTATACACGAGTTTGTCCTTGCTTGGAAATCTTTCATGCAACAAAAACAGACTATCATTATTGTTTTGTCCGTGTATTGTTTAATATATTGAAATGTAATTTGTCATCTTTGATAATGGCTTATGTAAGCTGAAAGCTTAAGATTAAAAAACATGTATCAATATGGTGTTTTTCTTTCATCTTTCAACGATAATGTTATTAAGCCTATCAGACAATATGAAAGGAATTTACTTAAAATAAATAGACAAAACTTGTCTATATTATTTAATGAAACATGCATCGATATATATATATAAATAATATTTCTTGAATATTATTTGCTTACTTTTGTCTTACCAAACTTTGAATTATGGCACTTTGTGCCCATCACATGTCTTGACTGACCATTCAACCACCTGGTATATATTCATGAATGTTCTCAAATTTAAGAGCCTTGATAAACCAATGACATCCTTGCTCTTGTATATAAATGCAACAAAATAAATGCTACATTTGCCTTAATAATGTCCCTTTGAGGATGAAACATGTTGGCTAAGAATAATTTTTTTCTCCTGTCTTTTTATTCATTTTTTTCCTTTAAAATAATTTACATATATATATTTTAAATTTCATGACCTAGAATATAGGGAGAGTATTATACACAAATAATTCCAGTATAAACAAGAATATTTAACTATTTATGTGAAACTCCATCAGCTTTCGTCACCACCATATTTATTGTTTTTTTTGGGTTTTTTTTGTTCTAGATCCGTAAGCATACAAAAGTATGTAGTGCCCATTTTAAAGCATCTGATTTCAAACGGACACTCACTGGAAGACGGGATCTTCGAAAAGGTGCAATTCCATCCATATTTAAATGGACTACAAAATCTCTTGAAAACCACCAGTCAAAGACACACCACAGCTTACAGAACACAAATCAACAAAAAGTCCATTCAGAAAGGTAAAAGCATCAGTTTTGTGATATCAATCCAATTTACCTTTATAATATTGTAGCCCATACTGCTGCTTCTTGCACAATTAAGTTAAGCAACATCACGCCTGGTCAGTACCTAGATGGGTGACTGCTTGGAAATACCAGTTGTATGCTTAGATGTGTAGGTGGTGTAATGGATATTAGCGTGTAAGTGATCAAAACTTGGGTTACAGCTAGTTACAATAAAAGTAAAACAATTCTTTACTAGAATTAACAAGCAGGTAAATTTTTCATACTTGCCTTTTTTTGCAATGTGGCTTTCTATTATTGGTTCCTGTTAGAGACACCATCTCAATGGCAAACCTCCCCTCTTTCCACATGAGGAATAAAAAAAATTTTATATTAAAATCTTACCCTGGGTATGTATATCATATTTGAGGTTCTTTGATAGGCCACGGAAAGTTCTCAGGACAACCAGCTTCCTAAAACCTGACCAAATGACCAAACAGCAGATGCTTAGGCTGAGAATCTTTCAGTATCTCCTTATAGACAAAACAGTTTGGCCATGTATACTGAATAAATAGACTCTTTATGACGTGTCAGTGTGAGAGAGTAATATTAAGTAATCTTAAAAAATACATATCACACATTCAGTGCTGGTGTTAATAAAATAGTGTTTGATGTAATATAAGAAAGTTATTAAGTATATATTAATAAATATACATATTATCTCTTATTAATAGCATGACTTGGAGTCTCTACCCAGCACCTGAAGATTGCGTTGTCCATGGAAGTCCAAGTTATGCTACTAGTGAGGGATAATAATATATATAAAGTTGGGATCAAATATGGATTGAAATCCAGCAGAATAAATAGGATGAAGAACAAATAGGAAACTTTTATAAATCAAACATGTTTCACTTTTATTAAAACTTCAACAGAGATTCTCTCAAGTTTTAATAAAAGTAAAACATTTTACATTGGTCAACGTTTTCTATTTGTTCTTTATCTTATTCTGTTGAATTACAATCTATATTTGATCCAAAGTTGTATGTATGTATATATGTAAAATATGTAAAATATATATATATATATATATGGTGGACTCTCCCGTTGTATTCGACATATGAGGGTCAAGCAACTCAATTCTTAGGAACCAACAACCAGATACCAGCACATATGATTTGATTATAGTGGTGCAGAACCAACCATAGTTTTTGAAGAGCCAAACACAGTGACCTGGTGCACTACATGCCAAAAGGTTCCCAAATGACCCTCCACAGGTTTTGAATTCAGGGTAGTCCTTCTACTAGACTAGTTGCCATCCAAGGCTATAGAACAGTCTGTCCTGTTAATTACTCATAGCTTGAGGGAGAAGATTCATACCTTTCCCAAGGGTATTATCATGTAAGTGAATGTAACGGATTCAACTGGAATTCAAACCCAGTTCTCTGAGCCACTACCCACTATTCCACTGTGTCTCCTATATATATATATATATATATATAGAGAGAGAGAGAGAGAGAGATAGATACACCTAGTGAGCCAGACAAACCTTTGTCTGGCTCACTAGGTGTATCTAGGTCTGCTCTACGGTTGAACTTTTGTTAGTTAGTTGTTTACTCATATCGGGGTTTTTTCTTTGGGCTTCAAACCTGCATCTGTGCGATTTTTTTCGACAGACTTTCATGTTTGTAGCTCTTTCTTTTTTTAAAACCAAGATTGATTTGATTATTGGCAAATCAAAAATTTAAGGGTTTTTCGAAATGAGTATAGTTATCTATATTTGTGTATATATATATATATATATATATATATATATATATAGTATATGATAAAAAATATAGCTTTATGGTATGCTTTATTTATGGGTTAAAGTACTCAATATCAGGGATAGAATGCATGTAAATATAAATGGATGTTTAGGCCAACACCGAGCGACAGCAATCTGTTTCATACTTAAACACAATCATCAGGCCATGCCTCAAGCTTAATAAAACATGGCCTGATGATTACATTTAAGCATGAAACACTGTTGCCACTGGGTGTTGACCTAAATATTCAGCTATATATATATATATATATATATATATGAGGTATATTTAGATTTTCATCCAAACAAGCTTCATTAGAATTCCATTAGAATTTTACTCTCCTATACTCTTAAAACAAATTCTTGACTATGCTTATGCCATTAATGTGCATGGCTGAATCCTGCATATTTGCACAATTCCCAGTGGATAATTAATTAAGTAGATTAATATAAGAAATTTTAGCATCATTTTTTATGTGAAAAATACATTGATTTGGAAATTCATGAAAAAAAACATCTTGCAACTTGTTGGATTTTAATTTAACTTTCTGGACTTTGTTTTTTTTATATTTGTTACCCCTACTTATTTAATTTTATGAAATTTTGAGAAATTAATTTTAATACTGCTTAACATTTATATTAGTTATATATAGAACTCCTTGGATCATCAATTTCTTTTTTTTGTAAAAAAAGACCCCAAGTTACCAAAAATAAAAAATGCAGTAAAACCAAATCTTGTTTTTCTTACATCAGCTGGGGAACCAAAGATTACTATAGGAAATTTTAGTGTCTTTTTTGTGATGAAAAACATGTTCTTTAACAATTTTATCACCATGTTAACAAATGCGTTTTTGCAATATTTTTTACTGAAAGTAAATAACATTTGTTTCAAATCAGATTAATTAAACTATAAATCAGCTAGTATTCCTCAAATAAAATTTCAGAAAAGTATGTATATTTTATTTTTGAAAGATTTTTTTAATAAAGAGAATTTTGTTGTCATGACATGATTAAAAATAGCACTAAAATCAGCAATTCTTTTTAGCAATTTCAAAACAAAAACTCCTTCGAGTCAATTTAAATTAGTTTTGAAATAGAGCAATTTTTTTTGCTTATTGGAAATATTAAATTTAGTCTATTAGCTCAAAATTAAAACTAAAATGAAAACTTCAAAAAAGAATTTTTAAAAATTCATTTTAAATCTTAGGTATTGTGTTTCTTTGGAGGTACTTAAATAAAAGTTTTGAATAAAAAGGACAGTGTGACTTGGGATTTGTATTCCTTCTTGCTATAGGCTTTTGTGGCCGAATTGGTTAAAATATCATCTGGTGATGTGGCATGTAAGTTCAAGTTTTATTGGAAACTATTTCTTTGGTCTAAATTCTTGCTATGTTAATGGTCAGCGGATGTTCAACCGAGTTCTTATGTAAAGTAACAATGAGATGACGAAAAGATGAGCTGAAAAGTAATAATGAAAACACATTGTGCCAGGATTCAAGTCATTAAAGAGAAATAAATAATGATTCACAGATTCTTGACAAGTGAATGTCTGCCAAGAGAAATGTTTTGAAAGACAGTTTTTTTACCAGGTCAGGCTTAGGCCTTCAACTGGTAGCATGTAACCCAGTGCAGCCTGCTGCATAGATGGGTAATTGGTGTCTAAACCAACTCATCTATGCAACTAGCTTTTCTGCTGCTGGTGAGAAAGCTGGCATATCACCCTACAGGACAAAAAACAAAAACAGTCAAAAAATGGGTGAACATCTTATAGGACCAACATAGGTGTGGCTAGAATGGTGTCCCAAACCTTGAATGGCAACCTTCCTAGAGATCTCAATAAAATGTACTTTGACTGCCGTGAGTGTCTAAGTTGGGCAACAGGAAGAGCATCTAGCCTTGTAAAACCTTGGCTCAAAGTATTGTGATAAGATATTTTCTTACAGACAGGACCCATCTTACTTTGTGCGATATTAATGCAGTTCCCGCCTTAACAAAAAAAAAAAAACATTGCTATGTATGTTATGTATGTTGTGGGCATGTAGCTAAGTGGTTAGAACATTTGCTTTCTGACCATAAAACCCAGATTTGAATTTGTCAGGAAGGTGACTTCTTAATGTTATTGATCTGGGGGAGGCAATCTCAGTGTGTGGCACATTTAGAGAGTGCCTGAAAACTATACCATGGGTTGACCCAAGTCTTAAGTGAAATTGGGTAGACAGAACACTTTGGGGAGCCATCAGTGGTTGTGCTAGCACAAAGTCACAAGTCATCGTGACCAAGGGTTTGAGTGTGCTGGCCTTGTTCAGACTGTTGATCACGCTAAATAAGGCACTCTCTCCCAGAAACTGTAACTAAGACCTGCTCAGCCTAGCTGCAGTATAAACCACAGGTGGGCTCTGTGGATATTGAACAAACAAATATGCCTGAGCAGGGATTGGCTAGTCATCCTAGTAGACAGGCATCTTTGGATATGAGTAGCCAGCCATTTTTTTTCTTTTTAGATGTATGTATTTATGAAGCATTGAATTAAGGATGAAGAAATAGTCTATTTCATACCTTTTTAACAGTTGGAAGATATTTAATGCAGAAAAGCCGTCATTACAAAAAGAACTAGCCAAAAATGGATACTGAAAATACTTTATACCAGATGTATTTTAATAATCAAAGAGTTTTAAAAACTGTAATAAAAAGCAACTTAGAAAAAAAAAGTATTGTGGTTTGTATTGTGCCTGTCAGCATTTGCTGTTGTTTTTTTTGTTTGACTTGTTTAAACATTAACTACATGACTGCAAATATAATCCTGTTTAAATTTTTCATATTTAAAGACTAAGTTTTAATTTTTTTTCCTCTCCTCAGCAAACCCAGCGTTTTTGTTGAAACTCCCACTGATCCTGAATACATACCTACAACTGGTTTCCGGGAACAGTTTGAAGCAGCCCTTAGTTTGATCAATTTTTCAAAGCTTGGCTATCACTAAAAAAAATATTTAAAAAAAAAAAAAAAAAAAAAAAAAATAGCGCTCCCAAAACTCACCATTTCCAGTCATATCTAGCCAATCTTACAAATTGGTAATCAGCTGTCGGGATGTTCCATGATGTGATCAAATAAAATTTTCAGTTAATTTTGCTGTGAAACTCTTTATTTGATATTCACACTCTGACCACAAATTGTTCAACGATCCGTATCACTTAATTGTTTTCAGTCCCCCCCAAACGTTTAATTTTAAAATCTCACAATGATGCCGTCTGTGATTTCTCTTATTTAAAAGAAAAAAAAAAAATTATCTACACTCGTCACCTTGTTTGTTGTTGTTTTTTTTAGTTTCTTGATTTCGGTTTTTAACAAATTTTGCTACAATTTTTTTTTTTTTTTCAGGTTTATATTTTAAAAAAAAATGTATATGAAAGCCTCAACAAGTCCAGTCTTCTTTTGTGTGGCAATAATGCCACCACAATACAAGGGGTTACTGAAATTAAGAGAATGAGTAAGGAGAAAGGACAATAAATGAACAGCATTCAGGAAGACATAAGATGGCAATTGGCATTGCATTTAAATTTTTGAAGATTGTAGGTGGCAGGGAAGCAAGAAATCAAAAGAGAGTTCCACAAGTGAGAAACGAAACTATTAGAATAGAACATTAGGAAAGTTGGCTACCTGTGCCACGCCAGGAAATTTTTCTCCCCAGAATCAATCCTCCAGATCTACAAATCAACAATTCGCCCTTGCATGGAGTATTGCTGCCATATATGGTCTGGAGCCCCTTCTGTTTGCCTCGGGGTTCTTGATAGGCTCCAGAGGCGGATATGCAATATAATTGGCCCTGATCTGGCATCTCGTGTATAGTCACTTTCTCACAGACGTGCCGCCACCTCTCTCTGTCTGTTTTACAAATACTTTCAGGGCAATTGCTCCGAGGAGCTGCATTCGCTGGTTCTCAGACTTCATGAGTTCAAGCGCCTGACGAGGCTGGCATCCTGCTCTCACCCCTTCACTGTTGAAAATCCTAAATGTAGCCATCTCTTCTACTCCGATAGCTTCATGTCTACTTTGCCTTTAAGCCTGCAAGAACTCCTTCCCTATTCCAGTTTCCCTGAGAGCTATAATCTCCAGCTATTCAAATGTAATGTCAATCGACATCTCCAGTCGCCTTGATCTATCCACTACCCTTCTCCTCATCCTTTCTTCTATCACTCCTATCTGATCTTGCTCTAAATTTTCTGTAACCCTTGCGTCCTAGTGGCTTCCCACCTTGCTTGGGGTGAAACGCTTAAAAAAAAAAAAATATTGCATTTAGCTAGTTCTACATTAAAATGGTGAGACCTAGTTACCAATCTAGTAGCATGCTTAAATTCATGCCATCAGTGCACCAAGCAGGAAAGCTCATTAAAACAATTGCCATGAAAATATTTGTAGAAAAGACAGATGCCACATTGGTGAGAAAGTGACTAAAGTCTAGATGTAAGGTCAGGATCAATTACATTACAGATTCTTGTTTAGATTTTGTCAAGAATCTCAAGACCTATAGTAGGAGCACTAGACCAGATATGGCAGCAATATTCAGTGCATGGACGAATGGTAAAATTATAAATTTGCAAGGTGTAATCTGAAGAGAAAAATTGTCTAGCACAGTGAACCAACTTTCCTAGCAGCAGAGCTAGCAATTGATTCAATATAATTGCTCCACTTCATGTCAGTAGAAAATGTGAGTCCAAGAAGGCTCTCTACTGGAGGTTAGCATCAGCAATGCTGTTAGAAAGTAGAAAAGTATCTTTAAGATGATTAAATGTAGTTTTATTTTGGAGGCATTAAAATTTACATGCCATTCCCTGCCCCAGTTAACCACTGATTGGAAGTGCTTTTTGAGAACAGTTGCTAGTTTTAATGCATTGGACTTGCAACTAAGACAGGAGTATAATTGTAAACTGAACTGAGATGTGTTCACTGCAGAGACCACATCCAGTTGCCATAGTAGATTTAACTGACATTATTTCACTTTTGAATGGTATCAATAGGCATCCTTCAAATAGGTCATGTTATTAAATAGCCTTGTCAGAGTGAAACTTTCATTTAGATGTCATGCACCAAACCTGGGATGTTTTAGGGAGTTACCTTTAAAAAGCTTTAGCTAAGAAAAGGATAACACCTGCAATAAACACTAACAAAATTGAAACAAAAATTCTCAAAAGCTTATTTATTTTTTTTAGTTCTGATCCATATTGATTAACAAATATTCAATCATGGTCCAGTCTGAGTGTTTCATTGAAAACAAAACATCAAAGATACAAAGGTCATTTTTGAGATCAACTGCTAATTTGACTTTATTGAACTGATCAGACTTACTATCCATAATAGTTATTGATGAGAGACTGGCTCTTAAAAACAAAATTTACTTACAAAAAAATGCTTGCTCCAAAAAGCCTTTCTCACCAACATAATATGGCTTCCCTCATGGCAATTGCTCTGATCGCTCTCTTTCATTGGTGCACAGACTGCACAAATTTAAGCCTTTTGGCAACTTGGTCTCATCCATTTTTTTTTTTTTCACTGTTGAACTAGCTAAATACAACCATGTGTTCTAAAGTTTCTTTCTTGTCTATGGAACTCTCTTCTGATTTCTCACTTCCCTGCCACCTACAATCTTCAAAGATTTAAATGCAATGTCAATCATTTGTTGTCTTCCTGAATCCTGTTCTTTTATTGTACATTTTCCTCTTTGAGCTTGATCAGTACCAAGACTGGTGACTGAGAATACCAGGGGATATAAGCTTGGATAAACATAAAAATATTCAAAACTTATCTTCCCTTATCTATTTGCTTATTAGTGCACTATTTTTTTAATATTGAGGACTCTAATTACAAAGACTGACTGCCATAAAAGAATTATCCCTAGAAATACACTGGTTGACCATGTTTGTTTTTTATTTTTATTTAATGAGACAATCTTTAATTTCTGTTAAATATTGATTAATAAAATACAAAGTAAAATTTCAGTATCTGTCTATATTTCTGAGATGAGGTACACTATTTAAATTATTCAGACTATTGTCCTAATCTTTGTTGCCATATTTATTACAACCTTTCGGCCGTTGTACACTCCGGCCTTCTTCAGATGGTTGGAATGTTGAACTGAACCCTTTATTTTGTTCTTTGGTGTAGACTGGGGTAAAGTAAAATTTAAACTAAAATCCCTACCCCCCAAAACACTAAGCAAAATCAGGTGAAACTAAATTAAAAACATAAGGTGTATACTGTCAGTTATTCATACACACCCCTCTCTCAGGATTATCATGGAAAATGTCTTCACTGAAGGACAAATGTCAAAGATTGTTAGACATACTTCATACAAATTATAGATTTTCACTCAATTACTGCTGCAATAGGATAGTTGAGGATAGTACAGTAGTACTATCCTCAACAAAGCCTTCATCAAATAAATGACCCTGGGGTCAAGCGTGCTTTCAGGACATGCCATGACTTTCCTGATCCTGAGTGGAAAGGATCTTTTGCAAGGTCTTTTCAGTCCCTGCCACCTCTGAGATAAAAAAAAAAGGCCAGTATACCAGCCACATGACTCATCCGACAAGAGCCTTTCTGCATCTGCCACTTCTGTGACTGGTCAAGACATTTTTGTTCATGGCTGATCAGGTACTTTCTACTCTTGCCACTTCTGTGACTGATCAGGATCTTTCTGCTGCTAGTACCCCTATAGCCAGTCAGGGCCTTTCTGCTCCTGTCATTTCTGTGGCTGGTTAGAACCTTTCTGCTCCTGCCACCTCTATGGCTTGTCAGGGTCTTTCTACTCCTACCACTTCTGTGGAAGGTCAGGAGCTTTCTGCTCCTGTCACCTGTGTGGCTAAATCATTTCCTTTCTGCTCCTGCCACCTCTAAAGCTAGTCAGGGTCATTCTGCTCTGATGTCTCTGTGGTCATGTCTACAGTAACGACTTAGCCTTCATATGCTATGAACACTTTCTTTTAAATTTTTCTTTTTGTTTTTTGGCATATCAACCTTTTCCAGGATATTTAATGCTAAAATTCTGTCATATTCATAAACAGTTTTATCAACTCATTTGGATTTAATGCAGAAGTATTTGAATTCTTAAAAAATTTTAATATTTGTTTATTAAATGAAGTCAAATGCTATATTAACAACTATTTGATAATATTCAGGGAACAGTTTGAAGCAGCCCTTAGTTTGATCAATTTTTCAAAGCTTGGCTATCACTAAAAAAAATATTTAAAAAAAAAAAAAAAAAAAAAAAAATGACGCTCCCACAAAACTCACCATTTCCAGTCATATCTAGCCAATCTTACAAATTGGTAATCAGCTGTCGAGGATGTTCCATGATGTGATCAAATAAAATTTTCAGTTAATTTTGCTGTGAAACTCTTTATTTGATATTCACACTCTGACCACAAATTGTTCAACGATCCGTATCCTTAATTGTTTTCAGTCCCCCAAGCGTTTAATTTTAAAATCTCACAATGATGCCGTCTGTGATTTCTCTTATTTAAAGAAAAAAAAAAAAATTATCTACACTCGTCACCTTGTTTGTTGTTGTTTTTTAGTTTCTTGATTCGGTTTTAACAAATTTTGCTACAATTTTTTTTTTTTTCAGGTTTATATTTTAAAAAAAATGTATATAAAGCCTCAACAAGTCCAGTCTTCTTTTGTGTGTGGCAATAATGCCACCACAATACAAGGTTACTGAAATTAAGAGAATGAGTGAGGAGAAAGGACAATAAATGAACAGCATTCAGGAAGACATAAGATGGCAATTGGCATTGCATTTAAATTTTTGAAGATTGTAGGTGGCAGGAAGCAAGAAATCAAAAGAGAGTTCCACAAGTGAAAAAAAACGAAACTATTAGAATAGAACATTAGGAAAGTTGGCTACCTGTGCCACGCCAGAAATTTTTCTCCCAGAATCAATCCTCCAGATCTACAAATCAACAATTAAGCCTTTGCATGGAGTATTGCTGCCATATATGGTCTGGGCCCCTTCTGTTTGCCTCAGGGTTCTTGATAGGCTCCAGAGGCGGATATGCCAATATAATTGGCCCTGATCTGGCATCTCGTGTATAGTCACTTTCTCACAGACGTGCCGCCACCTCTCTCTGTCTGTTTTACAAATACTTTCAGGGCAATTGCTCCGAGGAGCTGCATTCGCTGGTTCTCAGACTTCATGAGTTCAAGCGCCTGACGAGGCTGGCATCCTGCTCTCACCCCTTCACTGTTGAAAATCCTAAATGTAGCCATCTCTTCTACTCCGATAGCTTCATGTCTCGCACCTTTCGCCTGCGGAACTCCCTTCCCTATTCCAGTTTCCCTGAGAGCTATAATCTCCAGCTATTCAAATGTAATGTCAATCGACATCTCCAGTCGCCTTGATCTATCCACTACCCTTCTCCTCATCCTTTCTTCTATCACTCCTATCTGATCTTGCTCTAAATTTTCTGTAACCCTTGCGTCCTAGTGGCTTCCCCACCTTGCTTGGGGTGGCTTGCTTAAAAAAAAAATATTGCATTTAGCTAGTTCTACATTAAAATGGTGAGACCTAGTTACCAATCTAGTAGCATGCTTAAATTCATGCCATCAGTGCACCAAGCAGGAAAGCTCATTAAAACAATTGCCATGAAAATATTTGTAGAAAAGACAGATGCCACATTGGTGAGAAAGTGACTAAAGTCTAGATGTAAGGTCAGGATCAATTACATTACAGATTCTTGTTTAGATTTTGTCAAGAATCTCAAGACCTATAGTAGGAGCACTAGACCAGATATGGCAGCAATATTCAGTGCATGGACGAATGGTAAAATTATAAATTTGCAAGGTGTAATCTGAAGAGAAAAATTGTCTAGCACAGTGAACCAACTTTCCTAGCAGCAGAGCTAACAATTGATTCAATATAATTGCTCCACTTCATGTCAGTAAAAATGTGAGTCAAGAAGGCTCTCTACTGGAGGTTAGCATCAACAATGCTGTTAGAAAGTAGAAAAGTATCTTTAAGATGATTAAATGTAGTTTTTATTTTTTGGAGGCATTAAAATTTACATGCCATTCCCCTGCCCCCATTAACCACTGATTGGAAGTGCTTTTTGAGAACAGTTGCTAGTTTTAATGCATTGGACTTGCAACTAAGACAGGAGATAATTGTAAACTGAACTGAGATGTGTTCACTGCAGAGACCACATCCAGTTGCCATAAATAGATTTAACTGACATTATTTCACTTTTGAATGGTATCAATAGGCATCCTTCAAATAGGTCATGTTATTAAATAGCCTTGTCAGAGTGAAACTTTCATTTTAGATGTCATGCACCAAACCTGGGATGTTTTAGGGAGTTACCTTTAAAAAAGCTTTAGCTAAGAAAAAGATAACACCTGCAATAAACACTAACAAAATTGAAACAAAAATTCTCAAAAGCTTATTTATTTTTTTTAGTTCTGATCCATATTGATTAACAAATATTCAATCATGGTCCAGTCTGAGTGTTTCATTGAAAACAAAACATCAAAGATACAAAGGTCATTTTTGAGATCAACTGCTAATTTGACTTTATTGAACTGATCAGACTTACTATCTATAATAGTTATTGATGAGAGACTGGCTCTTAAGAAACAAAATTTACTTACAAAAAAAATGCTTGCTCCAAAAGCCTTTCTCACCAACATAATATGGCTTCCCTCATGGCAATTGCTCTGATGCGCTCTCTTCATTGGTGCACTGACTGCACAAATTTAAGCCTTTTGGCAACTTGGTCTCATCCATTTTTTTTTTTTTTTTCACTGTTGAACTAGCTAAATACAACCATGTGTTCTAAGTTTCTTTTCTTGTCTATGGAACTCTCTTCTGATTTCTCACTTCCCTGCCACCTACAATCTTCAAAGATTTAAATGCAATGTCAATCATTTGTTGTCTTCCTGAATCCTGTTCTTTTATTGTACATTTTCCTCTTTGAGCTTGATCAGTACCAAGACTGGTGACTGAGAATACCAGGGGATATAAGCTTGGATCAGTGTAAGGTGTAATGTATAATAGCTTGGAATTGGAAATTGGAGAGCCGAGTTCTAATTTCAGTCATATTCATTATATTCACTTATGTGAAAGGTATGAAAGGTCTTTTCTCCCCATGCTATGGGTTAATTTGTAGGACGTGTATCAATAAAATAATTATTATCTTCAAAAAATTCTTACAATCTAAAAATATTTTCTGGCTTTAAAATAACCTGCAAAAGGTTGATAAGCCATAAAAACAAATCAATGTCCTTTCTCCTCATTAAAGTTTTCTCATTCTCTTTCATTCCCAGTCACCTCTTGCATCCTAGTGGCATTATAATTTTACTTGTGGTGAAATGATTAAAAAAATGTTCAAATTCATTTTCTTTTTTATGTGCCGTGACCCCCTGAGAACGTAAGCAATCACGGCTCTCCACGACTTCCTGTCACTTGTACTCTTAATAAACTTTGTCTTTTTGTTATTTCTCTTAAGCCATGTTCTGCCATTCCTTTACTCCAGCTCACAAAGTATGTTATGCATTGTCTTCCTTTGTCTCTTTTGTCCTGTATCTGTCCTGTGAGTATTAGATTTTCCAAGCCCTCCTTCTTCATTATATGCCTTAGAAACCTCAGCTTCTCTATCTGATGTTAAGTATTAGTTTCCTTTTTGTTTACATTTTCTCCAAAACTTTGTTGTTACTCACATGTTCAGTCCACAGTATCCTCAGCATCCTTCTGTAGAACCATATTTCTCATTGCCATACAGGGGGACAGATATCACATAGACGTTTAGTGCTCTTTTCCTTGTTTCTAGCAAAATTTTTCCATTTCTTAATACTCTGCTTAGCTTTAAGAATGGTTCCTTGGCTATCCCAATACACTTTTGTATCTCCATGTCACTCCTTCTGTCCTCTGTTAAATCACTTCCCAGATATTTAAATTTCCATACTTATTTGATTTTGGTATCTCTGATTTGTAATTCACACTTTGGGCTTTTCCTTTTGCTAACAGCCATGCATTCAGTCTTCTTGCAGTTGACATTTAGTTAGTAAGACATTAACTTATTGAGTGCTATTTTAAACAGCTTTATTGCAGTATTATATTTTAGGTAATGATGAGTTTATATATAACTGTGATAGACATGTTATCTCTAAGACATTTTTTTATATTGGCTTTTATGCTTTATTCTTTATTTTATAGAAGAAACAAGTACAGTCTGTTTACAGTAATATATGCAACAAAATAAAAATTGCCAGGAAATATCTTTAAAAAAAATTCAATGATACAATTGAAATCCCTATTCTAATCCATATTCAATTTTAAAAATTGGTGATCAGATATAAAACAATTGTTTTATGATCTGCAGTTTCAGCTTAAATAATTTTGTGGTTTGGTCATCCAAAATAGTTACCTCCCTTGATATTTGCCCTTTGTATGTACTGACAGAAATTTTTTCTTTTTCTTTTTAATTCTTAAATTCTGTCATCATTGTAGCAGCAGGTTTGACTTCAAAGTTGAAAATAAAATACAAGAATAACACAGAACAAAAAAATATTTTGGGAAAAAGCTTTCTTTGTAAAGAAAGAGGTTAGATATTTCAGATCAAGCATTATGAAATATATCTGAATCATTATCAGGATTAATTGAAAAAAACCAACGTACTTTACAATTAGGAAAAAAAATGAAAAAGGTGACAAAAAGTATTTAAAACAAAAAATATCAAAATTCATTTAAAATTTCTTTTTTTTTTAAATGCATTTCAAATAGCTTAGTTTTCTTCAGGAGAAGCAAAACTAGTATGTTTTGCTAGTCAAAAAGATCAAAATTTTGTTTGTTTTCTCTTTTTTTTGATTTCTTTGTTTATACTGTGAACAGTTTACAATACAAATTCAACAGTGTTACATATTTAAAAAAAAATGCAAAAACAAAAGTAAAATAAAATAAAAAAGAAGTTAAATTCCTTTAAGTTGAAGAAACTTACATTTTTTATACCAATTCCTAAAATAGTAAAAGAATGTAACACTGCTGACAGTGACTGAATACAGATTTTATCCCTTGGAATTTTTCTTCTTTTTTTTTTCCCCTTAATTTTCTTTGGTATTTTATAATTGGAGATTGAATGTCTCTCTCACTCTCTTTTACTCTCTCTTTCTCACTCTCTATCTCTTTCTCACTCTCTCTTTATTCTTCTTCCACCAGTAAGGCTGGAGACTTGCATAATACTTTGCTGAAATGTGCATTGTAATCAGCAAACCAGACAACAGACGCCATCAACCTTTTTGGGGTTTTTACAAATTGGTTTGGGACACACCTGTTTCTGGCATTCCACTTGTCCATTCTAGAGATAGAAATGAAAGAATAAAAAGATGTTATGTTCATTATAATTGTTAATTTTGAAATTGCAAAATAATGGTCATTATTATTTCATGATAGCAGTGGTTCCCAAATGGTGCAATGCACCTCATAAGTGCAGCAGAAGAGGATAGCAGGTGAGGCAGAATGATTGAAAGACAATCAAAGATTTAGAAACACTTCCAAATAATTCATATGCCAAAAATAAATGATTTTAAAATATTATTATGGAAGAGAGAGTTATCAATGATAATGTTCTGACTTCGAATCCGTGGTTATCTCCCTTCAACCCTCTATGTTTTTTTATTTTTAAATGTTCCTTTTATCACATAAAATTTGGTGAGGCACAAGCAAATTTTAATTCCGAAAATGCAGCTCAGAGAAAAAAAGTTTGGGAACCACTGCATTATAGTAAACATAAAAATATTCAAAACTTATCTTCCCTTATCTATTTGCTTATTAGTGCACTATTTTTTTAATATTGAGGACTCTAATTACAAAGACTGACTGCCATAAAAGAATTATCCTAGAAATACACTGGTTGACCATGTTTGTTTTTATTTTTATTTAATGAGACAATCTTTAATTTCTGTTAAATATTGATTAATAAAATACAAAGTAAAATTTCAGTATCTGTCTATATTTCTGAGATGAGGTTGCACTATTTAAATTATTCAGACTATTGTCCTAATCTTTGTTGCCATATTTATTACAACCTTTAGAAGTTGTACACTTAAAAATCTTCAGATAGTTGAATGTTGAACTGAACCCTTTATTTTGTTCTTTGGTGTAGACTGGGGTAAAGTAAAATTAAACTAAAATCCCTACCCCCAAAAACACTAAGCAAAAAGATCAGGTGAAACTAAATTAAAACATAAATGGTGTATACTGTCAGTTATTCATACACCTCTCTCAGGATTATCATGGAAAATGTCTTCACTGAAGGACAAATGTCAAAGATTGTTAGACATACTTCATTTTAAATTATAGATTTTCACTCAATTACTGCTGCAATAGGATAGTTGAGGATAGTACAGTAGTACTATCCTCAACAAAGCCTTCATCAAATAAATGACCCTGGGGTCAAGCGTGCTTTCAGGACATGCCATGACTTTCCTGATCCTGAGTGGAAAGGATCTTTTTTGCAAGTCTTTTCAGTCCCTGCCACCTCTGAGATAAAAAAAAAAATGATATACCAGCCACATGACTCATCCGACAAGAGCCTTTCTGCATCTGCCACTTCTGTGACTGGTCAAGACATTTTTGTTCATTTCCTGATCAAGGTATTTTTTACTCTTGCCACTTCTGTGACTGATCAGGATCTTTCTGCTGCTAGTACCCCTATAGCCAGTCAGGGCCTTTCTGCTCCTGTCATTTCTGTGGCTGGTTAGAACCTTTCTGCTCCTGCCACCTCTTTTTGTCAGGGTCTTTCTCCTACCACTTCTGTGGAAGGTCAGGAAATTTCTGCTCCTGTCACCTGTGTATATAAATCATTTCCTTTCTGCTCCTGCCACCTCTAAAAGCTAATCAGGGTCATTCTGCTCTGATGTCTCTGTGGTCATGTCTTTATGTAACGACTTAGCCTTCATATGCTATGAACACTTTCTTTTAAAATTTTCTTTTGTTTTTGGCATATCAACCTTTTCCAGGATATTTAATGCTAAAATTCTGTCATATTCATAAACAGTTTTATCAACTCATTTGGATTTAATGCAGAAGTATTTGAATTCTTAAAAATTTTAATATTTGTTTATTAAATGAATCCAAATGCTATATTAACAACTATTTGATAATATTCAGGAAAAAAATATTATTAGAGAAAAATATCAAAAAAAGTATCAAAATTTAATCCCCAGAGATTTAAAAAAAAAAAACCCATTAGGAATAAAAACAAACTTTTCAAATAAAGTTTCCATTTCCTTACCTGACACATGCAAGTTTTACAATCATTGATTTTCCACTCTTCTTTATTTGGATGTAATTTTCCATCATTTCCACGGCAACTGAAAGAATCTTTTGTCATCTTTCGTTGCAAGAAGGTCACCTAGAAAAAAATCATATTTACTATAAGTATTTTAAAACCAGCAAGTTATATAACTTGTGACATCACACTGGTCAGGTTTATTAAATACACAAAAATTTTCATTCACTCTAATGACTACATACACAATGGCACATTCCTGTCTTAATAGTTAGTCTGATTGGTTCAATAAGGTCAAATTGGCAGCAGATTTCAAAAATGATATACTTTCTGTTGTTAACTGGGGCAAGGAATGGCTTGTTAATTTTAAAACCTCCAAAATGAAACTGCTTTCTTTTAATTGTCTGACAGAACCTTTTTTAACTTCCATCAGCATGACTAATGCTAACCTCCAGGAGAGTGATTCATTGTGCCTTCTCAGTCTAACATTTTTTGCTGACATGAAGTGGAAAGATTATATTGAATCAATTGCTAGGTCTGCTGCTAGGAAAGTTGGTTCACTGTGACATGCTAGACAATTTTTCTCACTATAATCTGGCTTGCATATTTAAATATCTACCATTCATCCATGCTTTAAATGTTGCTGCTGGTGCTCCTGTTATATATTTAGAGATTCTTGATAAAATCCAAAGAAAAATCTGCGATGTCATTAGTCCTGGTTTGGTTTCAATCACTTTCCCATTGTCGTAATGTGGCTTCCCTATACCTCTTCTATAAATACTTTCATGGTAATTCTTCTGATGAGCTTTGCTCTATGGTACCTAGACTTTATGAATTTAAGCACACTACTAGTTTGGTAACAAGTTTCATTATTTTACTGTCAAATTGGCTAGATGTAATCGTAAGTTCTTTGCTAACAGTTTCTTTTCTCACACTTCTCACTTGTGGAACTCTTTTCTGGCTCAATGCTTTCCAGCCAACTTTGATCTTCAAAAATTTAAATGCTATATCAATCATTATCTACTGTCTTCTTGATTCCTCTTCTTTTATTGTTCTTGCTTCTTAATAATTTTTTTCTTTTTCTTTCACACTCTGTTGTATCCTTAAAAAGGTTACAAATAGACAAAGGTGCTACTCAAGTGAAGAAACAGCAACACGCATGTAGATGAAAGGTTTATTATAAGACAGGGAATCAAGTGGCAGGCTAGTACTTCCTGAAGTAAGCCTTCCTGTGCTCACTATATATATAGCTACTGATATAGTCAGTCCACATAGGCAATAGGGAGTGTGGGACATTCCATTAACTCTCAGTAACTCTTTGTGTTTTAGTGGCTTTATTTCCTTTATAATGTCCATAAAGAAATACATAAATAGAGAATTAATTATATTTTCACTGTTTCATGTCCATAAAAAAGTAAATAAATAAAAATTATCATGTTGAAAATAATTATAATAAAATAATTTTAATTATCATTAATTCACACATTCTAAACCATTGAGAATCGACCCTACTTTTCTCCTCTACACACATGAACATGTGACATTTTCACTATTGGAGAAGCAGTTCACATGCACAGGTTGCTAACACATGCATCAATGAAAATTTTAGCTCCTCTTCCTTTTCAGATCACAATAGTAACATTTATCTCTCAACACTCGGCAAAAATCAAGATAAGGAAACCTAAACACTTCTTGTATTTTCCAACTAAATTATCTGGACACTCATTAATCAAATCTATAAAAAAAAACATACAAGAAAGATTATGTACACTTTACTTATTCTTTATCTTATCATTCTGTTGGATTCCAATTCATATTTGAACTACATTTGACCTGAAACTCACAATTTTATTCAGTACTAGCAGTAGAGCCCCGCGTTGCCCGGGGATGTAACAGTAAGAGATAGATTAAGTATCAACCATCATAAAGACTGAAAAATAAAATTGACAAAGATTATTGTTTTAGGTTAAACGGACACGCATGTCTTTTTTTTTTTTTAAAATTGGTTAAACCCAAGCTCAAATAAGAAAACATTGTTTTCAATCTGTTTTGGTTCTACCGATTGAATAGAATTTTATTATAAACAATTGTCTTGTAAATGGAATTTTTTAAAGCATTCTGAATGTAAAAATAAAGAAAAAAGTGTGCAAGACAATAAGAAACACTAGCTGCCAAAAAAAAAGTGAAGTTTTGTTGAAATCGGTTGAAAAATGTAGGAAATCCGATCCTATATATAAAGGAACACACACACACACACACACACACACACAAACAACCTGGGTTTTATAATAAGTATAACTCAATATGAGTTATCCCCCTTTCATTCTCATGAAAGCAGTGCCTCTTAATTGTATTTTCAAATTGATTTCGTGCAAAAACAATTGTGTTTTTCCAATTTTTAGTGCTGTCAGAACCACTGCAAGGTAATTTTATGTAGTCCTGTGAAGTTTTGTTGAAATCGGTTGAAAAATGTAGGAAATCCGAGCCAATATATAAACGTACGCACACACACACAACCTGGGTTTTATAATAAGTATGATTACTGTCTCTCATATCTCCAACACCACATAACAACCAGATTTTGTTATTTTCACACCTTATTGTTTCTCATTTTTATGAGTATTTTTTGTATATATAAATGTAAGGGACTTTATAATTATTTACTTAGAGTTATAACTCCCCTATACATTGCTTAGGGGTGAAATGATTGAAAAGAAAAATAATAATAATTTAAGGAAAACATACTATTTTGAAATTATACTTAATACAGGTAATTTTAATTAGTTTGGAGCCATCATTGCCTCTCCCTCAGGAGGAGGCTGGAGTTATTACCTGATGCCTGAAGCATCCCAAAATGGGAGAGACTCAACGCATTCTCATTTTAAACTTCAACCTTGTGTCATATTATATGTGTATGGGGATCTAAATAAGTATTCACACACTTTGAAACAATGCTGCAGTATTTACAAGTGCGGAATAGGACAAACAGCTCAAAGAACAGCATAAAAATTAGGAAATTCAATGAAAAAATAAAACATTAAATCTGGTTAACTCCTCTTCCTTCAGAACTTTAGAAAACTATAACCAATTCATTTCTTGTGAAATCTTATATGCAGGATTTTTTAGAAAGATCAGATTAAATCCTTTTGCGGTTGATAGAAAAAAATAAGTCACAGAAATAATTCTTACCCGTTTCTTAAGTTTTTGGAACATTGTGTCAAATTTTTTAATCATTTTCTCCATCCCATCCATGCGAATGTCAAATTGGTCCATCTGGGAGTGAATTTTGTCAGTTTCAACCGTTTTATATCCACTAACTGCAGCTGGTGCATCACTTTGAATTTGAGAATGGTCAATTCTGGGTGAGCTTTGAACAGGATGATCCTCCGGATAACTGTGAGTTGATCTCCGACTGCGATAGTGACTTGTAATTGATTCAAAATTTCCAGATTTCTCACAATCTGAAATGATTAAAATAATAAAAATAAGAATCTTTTAAAGCTTGTAATTTGTTTGAATTTTTGTTTTGTTTTATTGCATATCAACACTTTGTGGGTTATTTGAAGCTGAAACACATTTCGGATTTAAACATTATGAATTTCTATTTAGGAGATTAAACTTCAACCTTGTGCCATCTGAATAGTGAGTTTGATCCTAACTTGGTGCTTCCTACTTTCAGCCTTGTGCCACATCTAAGCTATACTTAGTAAATCAAAGGCACTTCAACAAGGTGCAATTGTTAGAAAGCTTGTCTTATTAGCTCAATTACAAACATCAATAGTGGAAATAATCGATTTTTTCATGCTTCTACAGCAGTTTTCATGTAGTTTGCAGCCATTTTGTACTGGCCAGAGTGAGAGCCAATAGCTGGCTGCCACGAATAGGCAGGAAGATTCTATTGGCCAGCATGAGAGCCAACAGCTAACTGACAAGAATGTTAAATAGCATGCAAAAAAAATCGATAGCTGCATTCGTCTCAAGTGGGAAAAATTTAAATCTGCATGGCACTTTACTCTAATTGGCTCATTAAACACTTAAACTCAACGTTGATTCTGATTCTTCAGAACTGGGTTGGTGTGAAAAAGTATTTGTTGTTAACATTCTTTTTTTCGTTCAGTTTTTCCAGTTACAAGTCCTTTTTTTAAAGCTGATTGTTTTGTGTTCATTTTGTTTAGTTCTTTTTTTGTAACAGATTTAATGTTTAGTATAGAGCTTAGAAAAAATTTGCAGTGTGAGATAGGCAAGAAGTAAGGCATGTAGCAACATCAGCACAGCAAAGGGCACTCCTTTAAAGGCAAGAAAGGGCAAAAATATTTTAAGTCAAGTGATAGCGATTGCTGTACGAGTCGTACAATTTTTTAATCAAGCATGGGCAACGCCGGGCCATGCTGCTAGTTCATAGAATAATTACAATGAAAAGCTTTTCTGAAATTCTGTTCCTAAAATAAAATAAAGTGAAGCATCAATTTTAAATTGTTACAGGTTTCCATTTTCATTTTTTTCTTGATAATTTCTAAGTTGTTTTTATAAAAATGTTTTTTTGACAAAACGACAACTTTGGTATCAGACAACAGTCATGGAAGTGCCAGTACAGAATGAATTCAATAAAAATGGTTTGTGTTAATTGTTAATCTAATGCTAAGATTCCAAGTGATCTTTACCTACTAAATCATCAAGCAATAATAATTTTTTGCATGATTTTGGGCATGTGTGTAGGTGGGAGACTTTGTGAGTAGAGCGGGATAAACTTTTGTTGAAATGATGAACCTTGGTTGGTACATGATCTTTTGACAGCCTGAAGAACCTGGTTGGTGTGGACAATATGTACAACAACAACACTGATAAGTCTTTTAGTGTATCTAGTACAGTACTAGCAACTAAGTGTCAATTCTTAGTTGACTCACTTGCTTCACAAATTTAGCTGATCTAGTTTTGTTTTTGTTTTGTGAGTGGCTATTAGCACTTAAGTTGATTCACTTATTGTTATAGTGAAACACACCTATTCTATTGTTAATAGACTCTCCCACCTATAATAAGTAGGAGTAGTAGCAGTCACTCAGTGAGTCAGTCGCGGAGTTGGTCAGTCAGTTGATGTCAGACGACCGTTAGTCAGATACTAAAATTATTAGCGACCACCACTAGATTTCTCTGTGTCATTACCTATTATATCAAGTTCCTAACATTTTGTACGTCGAACCTATTTTAGGACCGACTTAGTGAAATACAAGCCTCTACTGTGAAATATACTCTACAACACTTGACGATGAGGATTCGAACTCATACGGAGAAAAAAAAAAATTCATTCGCCATATACAACATTTGGTGATGAGGTATTCGGATTCATACGGAGGAAGAAAAACATTCGTACTCTACAACACTTATTTGCAAAACTGAAAAATGCCAGTCAAAACTGAAAGATGCTGATCAAATGGTCAAAACTGAAAGATGCTAGTCAAAGTGATCAAAACTGAAAGATGCAAGCCAAATATTCAAAATTGAAAGATCCCTGTCAAATGGTCAAAATTGAAATATGCCAGTCAAATTGTCAAAACTGAAAGATACAAGTCAAATGGTCAAAACATAAAGATGGTCAGCTCCTTATACTACTTCAAAAAGTTCCTAACTCTTCCTGCCCTGCTCTATTGCCACAAGAGTCAGATCAGACCTAAAGTAGACGATTGCTACCAAATCTTGGTTGGAGATGCCCAATTCTCACTTTCAAGTCTTGGTAGTGTTCAAAAGCATTTACGTGGCCTTACAGATTATGAATTATTTTCCACTCTAATTATCAAATTCTTCCTAACAGGAAGGTCATTGTTAATGACCAATCAAGAGAAGCCTATAAAATCAAGTTTCCTCCTCAGTCCCAACCTCTTTCTATTGTATATTAATGACCTGCCTGAGAGCATACTCTGATCACTAGTATGTGAAGGATACAACAGTTTAAAAATCTGGAAGACCAGAACCCCTCTACTCATCCCCGCAGCTCAATGGGGGAAGGACTGACTTGTAAAATTCAGTACAATCACAACCTATTTAGTAACATTCCACCACCACTGAGCAGACACTCAACTTTCACTTTTCATGATATAAGGAGTCCCCTTACCTTAAATATGTATTGGAACTCAAGCTCTCTTGAAACCTTATGAAACTCATATATCTGATCTATTACTAAAAATGCTGGAAAAATAGTTCATTTTACCAGTACAGTATGTTTCTGACCCTCCCCTTGCCATACTCTATCTTAACAAGAGCCAGAACAGATCAAAAATCGAGTATTGCTGCCATATCTGTCCAGTCCTCATATGCCTGTCTTGATAGAGTTCAAATATGCCTATGTGGCCTTGCAGGTGATGAATTATTTTCTTCCCTATGTTTTATTAAGCATATGGTGGCAGAAACAAGAAAGGTTTAAAGAAATAAACAATTAACGTAAAATACAAAAAATGATAAATCGATGTAAATGTCTTTCATTGAAAAAAGGAGATAAATAGAGTTGTAAAAGGCATCCACAGAGGTGTGCAGAAGGAGAGAGGGGATGATTTGTGACTTACTGGGATGACAAACTATAGTGAGCTGTCTCTTGGAGATGGGAGGTTGCTTTCTGACAAAGTCTGTGAACCCAGGCCAAGAATGATCCTTTGATGGACTTTTATATCCTTTTTTTGGCTCAAATTAGCTCCAGTTTTTATTTTGTTTCTTTAGATGGGAGTAGGTGCTGTTGAGCAGAAATTCTGGATTGTATTGCTTATTTTTTCTTTGAGTGTGTGAGTAAAAATGGAAGGTATGTGTGGAACCTTGTGCAGTTGATGGATTTTTAGTTCAGTTTTGGGTGTTCAGTGCATTCAAATCCAGCCAATGGTGGAAATTAGTGTAGCATGAATCAGAAGAAGATCTAGTTTTAGGAATAATGTAACACTTATAGCACCTTTCCCCACAAACAAAACATTGTGAACTTCTCACTGCTCAATTACTATTGCCATAGCATATGTTCAGATTGGCTACATTCCTTAGTTCCACCAATTCAGGCCTTTACAGCTAAGCAACACCATAGCAGGTACACCGAGACAAATCATAATACTCATTTTCTTTATATTCCATTGGTAAGGAGGAAGTTTCAATCAGACATCTTCTTCCCCAGAATCACTATTTTGTGATACAGACTCTTGAAAGGATGCTTTCCTGATCGCTACAAACTTAACCTCTTCAAGTCTAGGGTCAACTGTTATCTTTCCTACATCTCTTCATAATCTGCACTACTTACCTTCCTCCTCTTATGTTCATGCAACAAACTTATTCAGTAACACTCTACCTTGAGTGGCTCTTGGGCTTTATATGGGTGAACAGTAATAAAAACAATGAGGAGACATTTTTGACAGGGTATCTGGTAATGAAACAGAATACAGGGACAAATGAATTCATGCCTTTCTCAAGAACATTAGTGCAAAATTAATGCATACAGTTTCATTTTTTGCACTAATAACTGCAGCATTAACCTACTCTCCAATATTAATACTAATTTATTCAGTCAACAATACACATCAGTAAATATATTATTCATAATGATGCACTAGTTCAATAGTACAATACTGTAAATTAGAAATGTCAGAATTATTTTTACCATGACAGCAGTCAGCCCACATCTTGAGGTCAATCTTAGTGATGCTTTCACATGACACATAGTCCTTTTCTTTGGCAATGACAAACACATCTTTCTGTATACGGTCAATATTGTCAGCGTTGTCACAAATCACCCGGGCCAGGGTTACCTGTTTTAACTGGGTTAATTGCTCAGCAGTGAAGACACCGGGATTCTCATACCAGAATCTATGTAAAACAAAGTTCATTATTATTCAGAACATTTAAACGCTTTTAAGAATTACTTAAAAATTATAACAAAAAAATCTGTAAATTGATATCATAATATTTTCCTATTGACTTTCATGCTAAGAATAAATAATAAAAATTTACACACTTTTAATGGGGTAAAGGAGTATTAAAATTCAAAACACCAAGGGTCACTCATTTTAAAAGATCAAAGGGGTTAAAGAAATTTGAAATTTAAATGCAATGTCAATTGTTATCTTCTCTCTTCTTAGTAACATTTTTCTTTTTCACACATTTTTTTACCTTGCGTCTAATGCCTTTATTGCTTTATCATTAAAATAAGGAGTAATAAAATATCAATCCTATCTGTTTCTCTTTTCTCCATCCATTCTTGTTTTTCTTTCAACAACTTTTCTTCTTTCTTACCCTCTACCTTCCCCACTTCTACTTCCTGTATAGCATTCATTCATTCATTCAACAGATATTTCTAGTATAATAGGATTCATTCATTCATTCAACAGATATTTCTAGTATAATAGGATTCATTCATTCATTCAACAGATATTTCTAGTATAATAGGATTCATTCATTCATTCAACAGATATTTCTAGTATAATAGGATTCATTCATTCATTCAACAGATATTTCTAGTATAATAGGATTCATTCATCCATTCATTCAACAGACATTTCCTGTATAGTATTCATTCATTCCAGACATTTCCTGTATAGCATTCATTCAACAGATATTTCTAGTATAATAGTATTCATTCATTCATTCATTCATTCATTCATTCAACAGACATTTCCTGTATAGTATTCATTCATTCCAGACATTTCCTGTATAGCATTCATTCATTCATTCAACAGATATTTCTAGTATAATAGTATTCATTTATTCAACAGACATTTCCTGTATAGTATTCATTCAACAGTTTTTTTTTATGTTAAATCACAATTCATTTCTTCCTTGAAATGTTTGGGAGCCCACATAATTCTAATTTACTTAACCAAAGCTTTTACTAAAAATAGAAAGAGTAAGTAATTTTGGACAATTAAAATATTCCTTTAGTTCCGCCTTTTGATATACATAAAAATTAAGAGAATTACCTGTCACCATCTCGAGTCCTTTGAAATTGGTCCACTATCAAACACTGAAAAGTCGGCCCAACTTTGGATCCAGGCAGTGGGGTTTCACTAATTCCACCAACAAACAAATCAATGTTATCTGGAATGGAAAAGATAAAAAGCCTAGTGAAATATAATACCTATAGCAGGAATTTTTTTGAGCTGACTCAGAATAAACCAGGTATGGCACAAGGCTACATTTCCAGAGCATTCAATATGAACAACACTTTGAATAAGAGTAACAATGTCTGGACTTTCACTGTAGAATGAGATGCTATTTTAATAACTTTGACAAAAACAAGACCAAGATTTTTCAATGCCTATCATTTTTTACAAATGCCAGTACAATTTTGTTGCTATAACATTTCGGTTGATCCATTTTACAGCCAATAACCCAATCCATATGAAAAAGGTGGAAGGTGCTTTATTTTTGGTAAATTTGAACAAAAATAATAGTGACATATTTACTGATTGGCTAATATCAAACCACATAATAGATTCCAGTTCCAGCAACCAATCAAATACAAACAAATAATTATTTTTATATATGCGAATGGATGATTTCCAATACTTTCTCTGTTGAACAAAAAAAAATCCCAAATGGACTGATTTGTATACTAATTATATTTGAGATTATTAATACACTTTCCTAAATTTTCTTTATAATAAAATTGTTCTTAAATAGTAGAAAATTTAAGATTCAAGCCAAGATAGAAAGAAGAGATTTTAAAAATAGTATTTCCTCTAACCTTTATCACTCTGTATGTGATTTCATTTGCTGTACAAAAATTTTATCCTGCCACTGAAGGTGACTCTGATCCCTGAACAATAACATGTTTGAATTTCATAGTTGTGTTGCCATATCCTTCTATGGCAACAGAAAACAACTTTGAGTGAAATTAACAATAAGAATACTGCAATTGAGAGGCCTTGAAAAAGAATGCAGTGGAAAGGGAAGTAATATTAATAATGCAGAGTGCTAAAGGTTAAGTATTCACATAGAAAATAGTAGCTGTTATTAAGAAAACTATAGAAATTTTCTTGGTAAAGCAAACACTAAAGAAAAATTATATTTGGATTACTGCAACAAACCCATAAAAGTTATACTGTATTTGGTGCAAAATAAACACTTTAAAGAGAAAAACTGTATTGTAATTGGTACAAAAACTGTAAAGAGGAAACTATATTGCCATTGGTACAAAATAAACAGTATTGTGATTGGTGAAAAATAAATTTTGTAAAGAAAAACTGTATTATGATTGGTACAAAATAAACACAGTAAACAAAAAATTGTATTGTGATTGGAGCAAAATAAACTCTCTAAATAAAAATCTATGTTGTTTGAGATTGGTACCAAATAAAGACTAAAGAAAAACTGTATTGTGATTGGTGCAAAATAAACACTGTAATAAAAATATTGGCTGAGATTGGCACTCTATAAACACTAAAAAAAAGCTGCATTTTCTGTTTATAACAACATCAATAATGTTGATTATGATTATGATGATTGTAAGCACTTCTGGTTCCACTAGTAAATACTGTGAGCAAAATGGATTGAATGGCAGCTTGAATGAAATAGTTAAGTTTACCACGTCTCATGTTGTCCTTGCGTTGATTCAACTTTTCAGTGGTCAGTCTCATATAATTTATCTTTCCACCCTAAGACCAGTGGAACATTATCATTGGTACAAAACACTGTGAAGAAAATGCTGTTGTGTGATTGGTGCAAAATAAACTGTAAAGAAGAAATTATATTGTGAGTGATGCAGAGCCAAGGCTATAATGAAAAAAATGAACAATGAAATGCAATGCTTATACTACAAGTAAGCTAAATGGAAAATGGGAAAAGTTGCTAACCTGGGTGGCTGTAGAGAGCTTGAAGATTTGATCTTACATCTCTTTCTGTGATCTCTTGTCTTAGTTCCTCAAAGTTGGTAACTTTTGTTAAGCCACATAATTTTCGGTATTCATTGTAGCTGGGGAGTCCATGGTCTCTTCCTCTTTGGATATTTAGTGCCGCCAAATCTTGACCAACAGAGTTAGCCAGCGTGAATAGCTTCTCTGTAAGTTCATCATTTAACATTTCCTTAGGTAGCTGTTTCTTTGCTGCAACCCCAAAGAGACCTCTAAGCAAGGGATCAATTCCCCCCTCCTCCACTAGTCTATAAGGAGAGAAAAAAGCTCTGTGAAGAGGAAGGTTTCCATGTCTGATTTGCTGGAAACTTTCATTTAGTCGATAGATGATTGGCTGGACCAGAGTATGACCAACACGGAAAGCAGCAGTGGCAAATTCATTTGAGATGGTTGGGTTCACCTGAGGTTGATAACCTTTGTACTCTCCCAGAGCCTTCATTCCTGAGGGTCCAAGAAAGTGGGGTAAAAAATGGGTGTAAGTAATATGTTGCATCATGGCACCGATGATTTTTCGGGTTTCATGGTACAACATTGTTCCATCCCACTGAGGGTTGAGCTGTAGCAATTCAGTGGCTACATGGTTGTGCTGCCGAAGCCATAAAGTGTGCATTGCAGTGAGGGCCAATTGTTCGTTTACACGATGATCACCAGCTAAGAAACAGGGTAGGTGGCGCTTTGTGGCTTCAATTTGACAATCAACATGTTTTAACAGGCCATCATTATCAAATGGTAGAAGTGCTTTTCCATCTGGCAGTGCTCCCACCCGAAGCAAACCTCTGTTGCTGGTTGTGTCTCTCAGGTTCAAAGCCTCAGTTACATTGCTGGCATAGACATTAGAAGCATCAATAAAAGCTGTGATGGCATTAAGCTGTTGCCTTGGTGCAAGTGTATTGAAGAAGATTGAAGTTTGGCCGGTATTACATGTGGCACTGGATCGGGCAAATCCTAAACATGACCTGTTACGGATTCGCTGGTCACTCTGGGGTACCTGAATAGGAAAACATGGCAGCTTGTTTTCACAAGTTTCATTGCATTTTCTGCCATCACTGAAGCGTGTGTAACTAATGGCCTGAGGGGCCAAGTCTAAATCATGGTCAACAAACTGACCCCATTGCATCAACATATGCGTGTTGTTGTCATCATCAGTGACATGCGGAGAACCAATCATTAAGGAAGAGATTAACCTGGGGCTTGGTAAATGGACACCATTGTACACTTTGGAAGGGTTCCATCCTGGAAGAGAAAAGTAAGAAATAATTTTGAATTGTTTTTCTTTTCACCATTATTGTTGGTCATTATTACGATGTTAAAATCATGACATATTCAGAGCCTAACAGAAATAAAATAAAATTTATTAAAATAATCACTGCTACTTTGAATATTTTAACCCTTACCTCATGACATCTACATTTTTATTGGAGATATCATTAGAAATTTCAATATAAGACTAATGTATTTTCTTGTCTGTAATACAACTTGAGTATAATATGACTCCATGTTTCTGTAGCTGAAAATGTAATAGTTGTTGGCTGGCCGCTTGTATCTGAGTATGCCTGACTATTAGGGTGGATAGTCAATCCCTGTTGCAGACGCCTTTCTCAGACACATGTTTATTCAATGCCCTCAGAGCCCACTTGTGACTTTATACAGAAATTATGCTGAGCAAACTTTAGTTACAGTTTCTAGGAGAGAATTCATTATCTGGGGTGATCGACAGTCTGGACATGGCCAGATGGCTCAAACCCTTGAGGGAATACATTTTTGGCTGACACTGACTAGGAATATAAAAATGCAGTTATAAAGAGTGGGAATTTAACTTTTTACCTATTTACAAAAAAAAAAAAAAGAAAAAAAGAAAAGTGAAATGTAAAACTGACAAAGATAAAGAAAGGGAAGAAACCTCAAGCTGGCCAACCACCCACACCATCCAAGGTAGTGAGAGGTTGATCTCGACTGGGAGAGAGAATTTAAATCCAACTCTATGACATTGAACAGTATATTCCAGCCACATTTTTTTACTTTTGGTTAAACTCCTTCATACAAACTCATCCATCTTTAAATACATCTGTCCTATCACTTCCAGATCTACTCTTTTTGTTTTGTTAATCTTTTTTGATTCTTTCCAATGTCTTCCTACCTTTGCTCTTATATATATATATATATATATATATATATATATATATATATATATGGGGTTAGGTAAATAAGATAACCAGATATTAGTGACTGTATATGCGCATACTTGCATGCATACGCTGATAAGCAAATAAATAATTACCAAATTTAGCCAAGAGGTGTAGGCATAATAGTGCTCAATGTGATTAGACAGAGCTAAGAAATATACATTAATTAATACACATACATATATGTTTGGTGTGCGACTCAAGTTTTGTTGGTTGCCCAACTCGTCGGGCATGAGATATAGCTTATTGTTTATGTAAAAACAGGAAATGAGTAGCTTAAATGTCAACATTTTAGGCGTATGTGAAACTAGGTGGCCAAACAATGGAGATTTTGTAAGTGGCAACCACAGGATTATATACGTAGGTGGAGAGAAAAATGAAAAAGGATCAATACCAGATCAGAACATCAAGAAATGTGTTTTGAGATACTGTCAGTTAACTGAAAGAATTCTTATACTTAAACTGAAAGGAAAGCTTTTCAATATATCAATTATAATTGTGTATGCACTGACAACACAAAGTGCACAAGAAGAAATCAAATCTTTCTACACAATACAAGATAACACCAATGTCCAGTGTAAATTACAAGAAATTATAATTATCAAGGGTGACCTGAATGCCAAAGTAGGCAAGGAGAGAGATGGGAAAATAGCTGGCAAATGTAGACTAAGAACCTGCAATGAATGCAGAGAAAAATTGATCCAATGATGCACGGCCAATGAACAGGTGATAGCCGAGAACACTCAAGATAATTATGGACATGGAGAAGCCCAGGAGGAGAAACTAAAAACCAAATTGACTAAATAACTATCAACAAGAGATTCAAGAATGCAATTGTTCACTGCAAAACCTATCCAGGTGCTGACTGTAGAAGTGATCACCTTCCTGTTATATGTAAACAAAGAATGAAAGTACAGAAACCAAAGAGACCTAATGCAACAATCAAATTGCAATACAACAGATTCCTAAACAAGCTATACCTATAGGAAAAAATATATGGATAGTGTGAAAAGAAGATATACAAGGGACAAAATGGAAATGGAAACTCACAGTGGGATGTGCTAAGAGAAGCTTCAGTGATATTAGCAAACAACATCATCTCAAAGGAAAATGGACGAAGAAGAAAAACAAATGGATCACAAATGAGATTCTAGACATGATGCAAAGACAATAGAAAACAATGCCAAGACATGGAATGGAATACACAAAGAAATAAGGAACAAATGCAGACAGGCTAAAGAAGAATGACTCAACAAAAAATGTGCAGAAATAGAAAGAATGAATATCGGAGATAAAGGACAAAAAATAAGAGAATTAACAGTATAAAAGATATGTTTATCTACAGGCTGCATAAAATCCAAGAGACAAATAAAAAATACCTCAGAGATGAAAGAAAAATATCACATATCTCTTCTATGATGAAAGAGAACAACTGGGAATACACAGAATTACCAACAGACCAGAAATATTAAAAACTGAAGTGGAAGCTACACTGAATTGAACAGAAACAAAGTGGCAGGGCCAGATGAAATTGTAATAGAAATGCTTGCAGCCTTAAATGATTTCAGCATATGCAAGATTACAGAAATAATAAATGAAATCTACAACAGTGGTGATATACCAGAAGGCCTAAGCAGATCTATTTTCATAGCACTGCCTAAAAAACTAGATGCAGATGAATGTGAACTCCACTGGACAACAGCTTAATGAGCCACATTACAAAATTCATCATTTGAATTCTGATGAATAGAGTGCACAAGAGAATCAGGCCAGAGAACAGTGTGGGTTTGTCAAACACACAGGAACAAGGAACATGATATTTATGCTCAGAATGTCATCAGAAAGAGCAGTACAAATGCAGAAGGATGTGTATCTGTTTTTTTATAGACTACGGAGAGACATTCGATAAAATAAGCCACAAAAATCTCTTAGAGCTTCTCAGCAACCTTGATATATTTGGAAAAACATTAGAATAACCTAGAATATATATGGGCAACAAATCGCATGCATACGGACAGAAAATGAGTTCAGTAGATAAACAAAAACAGAAAGTGATGTAAGACAAGGATGTGTCTTCTCACCAGATTTATTCAACCTATACAGTGAGGCAATTCTGATAGTATTAGAAGTCCTACCAGGATTCATTATTGGTGGCCACAATCTTAGCAATATAAAATATGCAGATGGCACAATGCTGATAGCAGACATGGAAAGGAAACTACAAAACCTCTTACAGAAGGTAGTGAAGGAAAGCAAGAAGAAAGGACTAAGCATAAACTACAAGAAGATAGAATGTATTGTTACCAGCAAAAGAATGAGTCCAAAAGGCAAATTAATGGTTTAGGATATGAAAATCAAGCAGGTACAGAAATTTAAATATCTGGGATGTGTTCTAACAGAGGACAGAAAGTCTGACACTGAGATCCGAAGATGTATTGGGACGGCCAAAGATGCATTCCAAAAGCTAAGCAGAGTATTAAAAGACAAGAACATTTTGTTGGAAACAAAGAAAAGAGTACTGAATTGCTATGTAATATCTGTCCTCCTGTATGCCAACAAATGCTGGACAATCTCCTCAAAGATGAAGAAGAAACAGGAAGCAACAGAAATGTGATTCTACAGAAGGATGCTGAGGATACAAAGGGCCAAACATGAGAGCAACAACAAGGTTTTGGAGAGAATGGAAACAAAAAAAAGGTTTATACTTAACATCAGGAAGAGGCAGTTGCAATTTCTGGGACACATAATGAGGAAGGAGGGCTTGGAAAATCTGATACTCACAGGACTGAGAGAGGGAAAAATGGACAGTAGAAAGCAGTGTGTGACATTCCAGATGGGCTTGAGCAAATGGATGGCAAAACAGGGTTTGGGAGAAATAACAAAAATACAAAATTTATTAAAAGCTACAAGGGACAGGAAGATGTGGAGGGCCATGATCACCTACGTCCTGAAAGGATATGGCATATGAAAAAAAAAGTAAAGCTATCCCTATGTAAGTTTCTTTTCAAAAGTTGTACCATATTATTCATTAAAATTTCAATGTTGTATATATATTTCACTAAAATATTTCATTTTTCACGATATTAAATAATAGAAGCAAACTGGATGTTTAGTCATTGCATGTTTCTTCTACCTTCCATTTCAAAACTTACTTATTTTCGGGGAAAGACGCTAACTAGACATACCTGGTAATACATTTAAAGGTGTTAATTAATCTATCATATATTTTTGTTTGATATGACTTTATCATATTTCTATATATTAATAATCTATGAAAATAAAAGAAATATTGCTTTTCATTAAGAATGAAGAGAGAAAAGAAAACTTGGCACATGGAACTAGAACAGTCTACCCCAGTGAGCGAAATAAAGGGTTCAGTTCGAAATTCCAACCACCTGAAGAAGGCCGGAGCGTACAACAGCCAAAATGTTGTGATAAATATGGCGACAAAGATGAGAACATTAGTTCGAATAATGTAAATCATGTACATAATACCTCATCTCAGAAATATAGACAGATGCAAAAGAAAACTTTATAAAAAAAACAAGAAAATCAAAATATAAACCAACTTTATCTTGTAAGCAAAATTGAGTGTATATACTGACATTCCACACTACCTCAAACAAAAAGCAGGGAAGGAAACCCCCATCAATACTGGAAAGAGTGATAACAACTACTGAAAAATTTTTTTAAGAGTAAAATTTTATAAATTTCAACGAGAAGCCATATTGGCTACTCAGTCAGTGGATGCCAGATGTTTCCTTGTAGGGAAATGACTAATATTATGATTACTATTACCATTGTATTTGGAAGATCAAAGTTGACTAGAAAGCAAGAAGCCAGAAGATAGTTCCACAAGTGAGAAGTGTGAGAGAAGAAACTATTAGTATAGAATTTACGGTTACATCTGGTCATTTCAACTGTAAAGTGATGATACCTAACTGCCAATCTAGTACTGCACTTAAATTCATAAAGTCAAGGTACCAAAGAGGAAAGTTCATCAGAACAATTACCATGAAAATATTTACAAAAAAAAGGCACAGAGAAGCTATGTTACAGCAGTTGGAAAACGATTGATGCCAAGATGCCAGGTTAGGACCAATAATATGGTAGATTCTATCAAGAATCTCTAAATACATATCATGGTCTACTGGAAAAGATGGTTATTACAGGGGAATGTTGGAAGTTCTTGACCTGAAAAAGTAATCCTTTAAAAAAAAAATATTTAATCATTTGGTCAGATTTTGGAAAGTGGATTAGTCCTGAAGACTTTTCAGCACCCCATGTATGTGTATAATTGTAATTCTTTGAAAGCCATTGCTCTCTATATGAGTCACTGAGATGAAGTTACCAAATGACATTATAAAAGCACCACAACAAAAGTGAGATATCATGAACGATATTACCTACTGGGGTATTAAAACCATTTTCATATCTTGGAGAAAGGAGACGTATAAAAGCACGATTTGCTGAGCCATATGTCGGGTTTTGTAGATTGTTGCAGGAGCCATCAGTTGAACGGTACTTCTTGTGAAAGCACATATCTGAGCAATCAGTTTGTGGCATATTCTTAGAACAACCAGACATGTAAGCAATTAGATGAAGATGATCCGGAGAGATGAGATCTCTATAGTTTTCTTCTGCAAAGAGAAATATAAGAGAATTCAGCAAAAATCAATAAAAAGTGGATCATAACCTATTCAGTTGATATTAACCTATTCAGTTGATATTAACCTATATTCTCCTGGTTCCAGTTTAAAGTGACTTTTTTTTTGTCTATATATCTAAGTGATTCTCAGCTACTGTGCCATGCCACACTAGTGTGCCACATGATCCTCTTAAGTATGCTGCAAAATATTGTCACGTCATACATATATATATATATGTGTGTGTGTGTGTGCATGTGTGTGGAAGTAGTAATGTTACAGTGTTAGTATTTGAATAAATGAATAAATATGAAACTTTTTATTCCTTCATTAGTCAAAAAAGGCTTTATCAGTTTTATTGCAATTTCCTACTTCTTATTTATATGAATTAGGCTTCTCAACCCTAAATGACATCAAAAGTAAGAAGCAAGAAAGACTATGCTCATCATCAGAAGAAATAAGGGTCTGCTCATCACATCTTTGACCAAACATTGAAGAAATTGCGAAAACACACCAGGCACAGGTTTCACGCTAAATAAGCTGTACAAATAGCTGAATAGTCTTATATTCTGTGCTAATAGGAATATATACTTGAAAAACATTATTTATTGTAAAAACCAACACAATAAAAATAAAGATAAAAGTTATGCACAAGGTCATCACAAGTCAACCCAGTAGTGAATGCTACTATTGGAAGGTCGGTGGTTCTCACGTAAGTCTGAGTCGTACTCAAAAGAGCCCAGCTAGTAAATATTTACTAGCAACGAGGGTAGATGTGGCACAAGGCTCAGTTTAACATGGGACATCCTGGCCTGTAGTCCCAGCCAAAAATTCCCTGTAGAAACGGTTTCAGGTCTGTCTACCTCCCTAGACAAGACTCTGCCCTTCGGCATAGCCTCATCCAGGTTCTGCTCTGCCTTCAAGCAGAGAATTTGACAACACAGCTAGAACAGATTCCAGCTAGTCAATATTTACTAGCCCGCACCCTCATGAGGGTAGATGTGGCACAAGGCCAAGTTTAACATGGGTCATCTGAGCTCATAGGCTTGGCCAAAAATTCCTCATAGAACCTGCATAAATAGGTTTGGGTCTGTCTACCTCCCTGGATGAGACACTGCCCTTCGGCACACCCTTGGTTCCTCTCTGCCTTCGACAGCACAGCTAGAACAGATTCCAGCTAGAGTATCTAGCAACTGCCCCATACAGCTACATGTGGCACAAGGCTGAATTTAATGTGAGGTTCTTGAGCCCATAGGCTCAAACAAAAATAATTCTTAGACCCCACTAGTTTACAAAAGGTTTAATAAACAGGGTATTCAAATAAAAGGGGGAAGGCAGAGAGTTCGACTGTATAGCCAAAAAAGATTTTGACTAGTCTCTGTAGTCCATTAACTTACAGATACTTATAGGTGGTTACTACCTATAGTGTAGTCACTCATGGGGGTTACAGATTATTCCATTACATCAAATAAAAATATTGTAATAAAGTAAGTTCATATTTGTGTGTGTATTTGTTTCAAATCTATGGTTTTATTTCATAACATTTTTAAGTATACCCTTTAAAAATTTTGCTAAGTGTATGGTAATATTTTCATTTGCTCTTAGGTGTGCTGTTGCTTAAAAAGGTTGAGAAACACTGACTTAAACCATAATGATCTAATAATTCTGCTTGTCCCACCCTTTGTTAGTTAGCATGACTGTTACACACTATCAGTACTTCATAAATAATGGAGTATTCCATTTTGATCACAGTGCACTGGAAAGATGGAAAAGACACATCAGACATGCTTTGGTTTCAGTGAGAAAATGAAAGAAAGAAAGAATGAGAGAAACAAGGGAAGAATAAAGTGTTTAACAACTGTTCCAGTGAAATGGAAAATTTATCAATTTCAAATCTTTTCATTTGTACCTGTTTATTTATTTAAATAATGACCAGCATCTCTATTTATGATTGCTATTGCAATATTTTGTTAAAGATGTTAAGCACAAATATTTAACGCTGTAATCAGAGAATTTCTACAGATATTTTATTGTTGTAGAACTTACAAGGAGTTTATTCAATCATTAACTTAAGAATTAAGATCCATCAGAAAATGCAGATAATAAAATATAATATTGAAAAGGGAAAATTTAATTAAAATATGTAGCTTTTGCCTGAAATCAAAAAATATAAACTTTAAGCAAAACGGTCAAAATATATGGAAAAAAAGACATCAGTTTAAACTGATGTCAGGAGCTTATGCTCTTGGTCGGGTTGAGGGTAAGTGAATGATAATGCTACAAAACATTACATATGCAAATGTTTTCATAATTAAATGACAAACTGTACAATCAATACAACCATTAAGATATTTATTAAATGTATTCTTGCCTCTTGAATAAATGGAGAGAATGAAATAAGTGGTGGTCCTTCAGTTTACTAAAGGTTTAATAAACAGGGTATTCAAATAAAAGGGGGAAGTAATTTTTTTCACAAACAGAAATATTTCTACCTGAATTTCTGGGAGGATGAGTTATCATTATTTACATGCAGACTATCGTCCTCATCTTTGTTATTATTATAACAACTTTTTAGCATTTCATTCTGCTCAAGTTCAGTCTTTATTAAGAGCATCTTATAGTTGCTCTGGAATACTCCTTTCTTGATAAGTCAGGTATTAAGTTGCTGTAAAGCAGCCATCTAAGACAGCTTAGTTGCCACATTGTTGATTAGCAGAACAGCATTGTTAATCCTTGGTCTCCTGTCTTCAACACAGAAGAGTGTAGAGTGTCAACTAAATTCTTGTTATATCATGCAATCAATTCTGACAGACAAACAGGGTAATATTTCCCGGATGGTAGAAGAAATGTAAACTATTGTCTGTACATTCAAATAATGTTCTATTGTCATGGCAGATAAGGTTGGTTTGACAACTTGTCCAGTTTTTCTAGTTTGCCAGTAAATAGGTGTGGTTGGTTAATTTAATAACATATGAACCATCGTTGGGTTGATTAATGCTGAATGTATCTCAAAAATGACAATTAATTAACAGAGACAGGTTTGCTTTACATGAAAGACTAAAAGGTGAGCAGTGGTCTGCTTTACATGAGGACCCAAAAAGTGGACAGGCATCTGCTTTACAAGAAAGTCTAAAAAAGTGGGCAGGAGTCTAATTTACAAAAGAGTTTTAAAAAAGTGAGCAGAGGACCTCTTTGTAGAAGAGTTCAAAAATTTGGGCAGGGGTCCACTTTACAGGTGTGTTCAGAATTCTTTCCAGGAGAGTCCAAAAAAGTGGAGATTGATTCACTTTACAAGAGAGTTTAAAATGGTGGGTAGGGATTTTCTTTACAGGAAAGTCCATAAAGGTGGACAGTGATCCATTTTACAGGAGAGTACAAAATGTTAAACAGTGGTCTTTTTTACAGGAGAGTCCAAAGAGGTTGACAGGGGTCTGCTTTACAGGAAAGTTCAAAAAGGTGGACAGTGGTCTACTCTACAGGAAAGTCCAAAAAGGTGGGTGGAGGTTTTCTTTAGATTAAAGTTTGCAAGTATCTATCTGAAAGCTAGCTTCTTAGAGGAGGGGGCTTACTCCTTTTCAAGGGATGAAATTAGCATATTAAAGGCCTCACTAACAGGGCATTTGTAAATCAAACACTTTTCCTTTAAATATCTTCTAATTGAACTATTATTCTACCATGGCTTAGTCATTTTCTGTACTAATAAAGTAAACATTTCTGATAGTAGGAAAAATTTAACACTTAAATTGCTAATTTTACTAAAGATTTATTAACAAGTCTCAGCAGTCAACCTGCATGTTATGCATTGAAAATAATGAAGAAAGGGATTGTCAGGGGTCAAGAAGCAAGAATTATTGCCAGAATCGCTAATGATTGATTCATTCATTCATTCATTCATTCATTCATTTTTTACAGCTAATCAACCCTTTGCAGGTTATTTAAAGCCAGAAAATATTTTTAGATTATAAGAATGTTTTTTTGAGATAATAATGGTTTAGTGATACATGTACTACTAATTAACCCATAGCTGGGGAGAGAAATGGTGGATCCATACCTTTCCTATGGGTATTTGTACGTAAGTGAATATAACAAACCCAATGAGAATAGGAAATCAGCTCTCCAATTAAAAATTTTAAGCTATTATCAATTACACCACCTGTACATCCAGCACTTGGTATTCCCAAACAGTCACTCATCTAGGTACTGACCAGGCTTGATGTTGCTTAACTTTGCTGATTGTACATGAGTGTTTCAACATGATGTGGTCATAAAGAATCATTAATGACATTATAATAAAAATGCATTGAAAATGAATGTATTAAATAAAAAAAAAATTAAAAGGTAATTATAATGTTGTGTTGTTATAATTTTTCTTGAACAATTAATACTTTTCCTACCTCCCCACCAAAAATAACATCTTTCAACCAAAGTTAACAAGACAAAAAACAGGTTTATACCTACCATATCCTTCAAGATTATATCTGTTACCTTCTCTGACGTGTTGACTAATTATCTCTAAAGTCTGCTCAAAGATCTCTTCTGCTTTTGCAAGTTCCAAAGCATCTGATGTTGGATAGCGAACAATTGTCAACAGGTCTTGAATCGAATGTGTCTTGGTTGTGTCAAACAGATCGCGATATGTCTCATTGGCAGCTATATTAATTCTGTTTATTGCCTCGGCTGCAGACTCATTCACAAAAGAATTACCAGCATAAATTCTATTGTCAGCTAAAAAAGGAAAAATGGGATTAGATTAGCAAGAAACTCATTTATAGTAATAAATTGTTTTAGGAAAAAGTAAGAAAAATTGGCAAGCTTGGACCGTCATCCCCCCAAAAAAAACATTGTCAAAACAATGTTTTTTCCCGGGACACCTCTATTATTTAAACTACCTTCACTCCTCAGCAATATTTACTGTTTTAAAAAGCAATGAATAGAATTGTAATAAAACCTAAACATATGAAAGTGAATTTATACATTTTCTTTGTTCTTGAGAATTGACAACAAAAATATTCTAACGTTCTGCTTTTCAAAACAGTCAACAAAAGTCCTCCTTAGGGATCACCATCAGCTACCTTATATTTTCCTTAATCTCATCCATGGTCTGAAATGTCCTCCCTTCAGGTTTGGAAAAATCAAAATTCACAGGGATTTAGACTCTATAGAGGTAGCTGACAGAGCTGAGTAATGTGATGTATTGCCAAAAAACATTGTTGCAAAAGATATTGACAATCACACACTACACACTCAGTGGTGTCTTAATGATAATTGACCAACCCTATAGTAGAATGCTTATATATATGCAGTCCCCTTTACTTTGTTTACAAGACCACACCACTGGTTCTTGACATATTCAAAAACATAATTACAGAAAGGCAGAATCCAAGATTTCTATGATTAAAAATTTGCAGCCATTCATTAGGTTGGCCAGAAAGTCCTGACTCACTTAAGAAGCAAATAGAAAACAACAAAATTTTATGGATCAAAATTCATTCTTCAAAATAAAGTTCATCATTCTCAACAATCTTCTGCCAGCAATCAGCCAGCATCCAAACCTGTCCCAGTGAACAGTCCGCTGGATTTGAATAAAAAAACTGTAAACAAGCTTCCTCCACTTCATCACAAGTGTTGAATTGCTGGTTGTGGAGGAAGTGTGCCATTGAGCAGAATAGGCCATAATCACTCAGAGCAACATCAAGAATCTCAACATCATCCATCTGTCTGAACTGGCAATGTGTGACCTCACATTTTCTTGCTGAAACAAAGCCTGACCTCGATTGACCAAAGCAGGATACTCCTTCTTTAGTTTGTCATACACCCAGTCTAGCTGCTGGCAATACTGTTTAGCATTGATGGTGTGACCACATGGAACAAGCTCAGAATGCAGTACTCCTTGAAAATTACACCGGACAGAGATCAAGATTTGTTGTTTTCTTTTTGCGTCCTAAGTGAGTCGGGACTTTCTGGCCAACCTAGTAAGAAATTAACCTATTAATGCCTACTATAAAATCCGAATATTAATTATAAAATTAAAAATAAAAACCTGGTATTAATTATAGGTTTCTATTGTAAAATTATTTAGTCATATTAACTAATTAATTATTATTAATTATAGCTTTCTATAGAATTTTATATGATATTAATTATAGGTTTATAAAAAAGTCCTGTATGATGTGCTGGTTTATAAATAAAAATACAGCATTAATTGTAGGTTTATAAAAAAATTCTAGTATTAACTACACTGCTTTGTGGGACTCACACCCAAGAGGATGTTTTCCTGATCCCTATAATCTTAACCTGTTCATGTCTAGGGTTAATCGTTAACTTCCCCACAAATCCATAAAATCTGTGCCTCTTACTCTGTAACAGTCTACCTCAAGTGGTTCTTGGGACTTGTAAAGGGTGAATATCATTATAAAAAAAATTTTAAATGTTTTATATAAAAAATTAGTATTAATTAAAGATTTTTTAAAAATTTGTATTAATTATAGGTGTACCCAACATTTGGTATTATTTTTTTTTTATTTTTTTTTTTTAAGCATTTCCCCCCAAGCAAGGTGGGAAGCCACTAGGACACAAGGGGTTACAGAAAATTTGGAGCAAGATCAGATAGGAGTGATAGAAGAAAGGATGAGGGTAGTGGATAGATCAAGGCAACTGGAGATGTCGATTGACATTACATTTGAATAGCTGGAGATTATAGCTCTCATGGAAACTGGAATAGGGAAGGGAGTTCCACAGGTGAGAGGTGCGAGACATGAAGCTATTGGAGTAATTATAGGTTTAAACAAAAATCTGTTATCACTCCATTATAAATAATAGTTTTAGAAAAAAAATTGTATCAAATTAGAAAAAGTCTAGTATTAACTATTGGCTTTTACCTATAATATCAGCGATCTTAAAAATTAGACAGAAAGTATTAATGGGCTAAGACAGATCAAGTTATTGTGTATGCAGTTGGGGGGGGATGACATTTTGATATGAAATTAAATAAAGCTCTCATAAAAAAGAAAAATGAAAAATTGCCAAATAATACATACACAGAACATTCAAATAGAAAGAACTCCTGTCTACACCTTCCACATTTTCTGCCACACATTCATAACGTCCAGCATCATGGAACTGCACTCTCTGAATTACCAGCGTATTACCAACACTCTGAACACGTTGACTATACTGGACAGGCAGACGGTTTCTGACCCAGCGGAACTCCGGTGTTGGTTCACCCTGAGCTTCACACACAAGTGTTACTCGAGAACCAAAGTTAACCTCTATATCTCTCTGTTGGCGAACAATCGATGGGGGCACTGACAAAAGAAAAAAGAATTAGTCAACCAGAATTGAAAAACAAACAGAAACAAATAAATTGGGAAATAGAGTTACAAGTTTAATATCTGTTCAGAAATTATATACAAGGGAAGAGTTTCTGCTCATGCATGTGCAGTAATGACACCTCTGATTGGTCACCAAGTTATATCAAGGCTGCACAACTGTTTATTTCATAATATTGAAAATAGATGGATATGTTTCATAAAGGCTTATTAGTTTCTTCTCATAAAACATGGAAAAATATTTTGGCGGGAAGTGGATTAATTGATTGGTTCATTCATTGATTTTCTATGGTTTATCAACCCTTTGCAGATTAAAGCCAGAAAATTGATGTAATGGAATAACCTGTCACCCCCATGAGTGACTACACTATAGGTAGTAATTACCTATAAGTATCTGTAAGTCAACAGACTACGAAGTCTAGCTGGGATCTGCTGAGTATGACTCAGACTTACACAAGAACTACTGGCCTTCCAATAATAGCACTCACTACAGGATTGACTTGTGATGACCTTGTGTATAACTGTTACCGTTATTCTTATTGTACTGGTTTTTTACAATTGTTATGGTCCGGTTCCTTGTACCACGGTGATAGTAGAACCAATAAAGAAGAACTTGAACACGAATATGGAATAACACAGATATATTACAAACAGGAATATATACAGAGAAGTAGAAAGTGTTAGTACGAACAATCAGGTTTAGTAGGGAGAACAATGTAGTCTTGACCAGTATCACTATTCCAATGTCTTGTAGTAATTGTCTGAACACGACTCTGTTTCGGACTGCCTCTGACTTGACTGACTGACTGACTTGCTCGCTCTGACTGACAGACTTCTGATGAACTTCTGACGGACCTCACTCCAGACTTCAGACTGAACTCCCTGCTTCCTCTTGAGGCGCAGTATTTATTACGTATGGAATAGTCCATTATGTTATTATGGGTAAGGTCCCATAACACAATAAAACTTTACTAATTTTATCCACCTTGTTTTTCAAGTATATGTTCCTATTAGCACAGAATATAACAAAAATATTTTTAAATTGTAAGAATGTTTTTGTTGTAGAGATAATCACAGTTTAGTGATATAAGTTATACTAATTAACCTAGCCTAACTAACTATAACTAACTAACTATAACTAGCCTAATTTTATAACATTTTAGTATTAAACAGAAACTCAGGGGATCAAACATGCTTGAAATAACAGTATGTTCTAATCATTGACATCAAGACATTACAGATGAAAATTTATGTCTGAAGGAAAAGTTACTTATAAAGATTTGTGATAAACATCTCTCAGAGGAAGAAACTGTGTTTAAAATTGTGGATTGGATTTCCTTTCTATTTGTACAAATTGATTCAAATGGACCAAATTTTGAAGTCAGAGAAACATCTTTTTAAAGCTTAATTATTTATGCTGAACTTATACTTATATATATTTGAAAATAGAAAATGCATATTTCCCTTGGAAATGAACTGGTCTACTTTAATTGTAATTACTGTATTTTTCAATGTATACAATTCTCTTTTTTACCTCAAAATTTGATGCCTAATCTGCTTGCATCCTATACACTCAAAGTTGATTGATTCATTTTCTATGGTTTATCAACCCTTTACAGGTTATTTAAAGCCAGAAAATATTATTTTTTAGATTGTAAGAATGTTTTTGAGATAATAATGCTTTACTGATACAAGTCTTACTAATTAACCCATACCTGGGGGAGAGAAGAGGTGGTTTAATAGCTTTTCCAAGGGTATTTGCATGTAAGTGAATATAATGGATCCAACTGGAATTGGAACTTAGCTCTCTGATTAACAATTCTGAGCCATTATCCATTACACCACCTGCACATCCAAGCTTATAGCACCTGTTATTCCCAAGAAATCAACTATCTAGTTACTGACCAGGTTTGACATTGCTTAACTTCAGTCTAGGAACTGGTATTTCAACATGACGTACCAATAAGCTTTGTGGGGTGAGGTAGCACATCTACCAGCAAGGGAAATAGAACCAGTGAATTTGAATTTCAGATTAAGTTAATTGTGTTTATTAAGCCCTAATACGCTTGAGAAAGGCATGAATCCACGTCCCCTGGATTTTGTATATTTACTGAATGGTGATACAGAGATGAATAATAGAATAAGAAAAGTGATTTCAAATTTTGGTTGAAATTTTTCCTAATGCCCTTAAGACAGACACGAATCCACATATTTGTGATTTTATTTGTTCCGTTATCCATTTACATAGATTACTCAGTTTCCCTCTGCTTCTCTTGCCTTCAGTATGTCCTGTGAGTGTTACATTTTCCAGGCTCTCTTTCCTCATTATATGTGCCAGAAATTTCACCTATCTCTTTCTGATTGTAAGTATTCCTTTCCTTGTTGTCCCTATTTTTCTTAAGACTTTCTCATTGCTAACATGTTTAGTCCATGGTATTCTAATGGAGGCATGGTAATTGTGGATCAGATTGAGGAATCAGAGAGCTGAGTTCAAATTCAAGTCAAATTCATTGCATTCACTTATATGCTAATAGCCTTGGTAATGGTATGAATCCATCTCTTCTCCTTCCAAGATGTGGGTAAATAACAGGACAGACTTGGTTCTATAGCCATGGGTGGCAACCAGTCTAGGAGAAGGAAAACTCTGAATTCAAACCAACTTGAAGAGGGTTGGGCTCTGTCAGGCTATCTTGCCCAAGAAACACCACTTCTACCTTAGCCGCAATACATGTGGTGTCCCTATGATTCTAATGGGATACGGAAATCCTGACTGCAATTCTATGGATACATCATTTTGGTTACTTCTCTTTCTGATAAGTTATTGCTAATCCTGTTTCCACTGTGGCTGGGTACATCCACACCCAAGGACTGTACTCACAACTGATATGCCATCAAGTTCACAAACAACTGCTTTAATCCTCAAGGTTATTGTCTTGTCAAACAATCACTGGGCTGAGTATTGCAGACTCATTGGAAACAAGACAAGCGATCACTATAATGGATGGTTGCTCATATCCAAGTACACCTATCTACTGGGGCGGCTAGTCAATCCCTGTTGCAGGCGCCTGCTCATACACATTTGTGTTTGTTCAACATCCACAGAGCCGACCTGTGGTTTATACTGCAACTATGCTGAGTGAACCTGAGCTACAGTTTCTGGGAGAGAGTGCACTATCTGGCATGATTAACAATCTGAACTAGGCCAGCACACTCAAAACCTTGGTCATGATGACTTATGACTTCATGCTAGCACAACCATTGACAGCTCCCAAATAGTTCTGTCTACTCAATTTTATTCTCAAGACAACCACCACGCAGTACTAAAAAAATGACAGCAAATTAGGAAAAAGATATCCCTAGACATAGACATTGGAATGAGAACAATATATCTCCATAGATTGAATAAAGGGTTCAGTTTAAAATTCTTTGAAGTCTATCTGGATTGAGAAACACTTGAAGCAGACCGAAGGGAACAACAACTGAAATATTAGTCTAGCTGTAAATAATCTAAATAAATAAATAAAATATTAAATCTAAATATAATGAAGGGGCAAAAACACTTTATGAAATCGCATACAACCTTGGTTTCGACTGTTAGGTCTTTTCAGGTGGTGGGCAATAAGTGATCATAATATCATACTGCATTTATTCATCTATGGCACTGGATGTCAAGAAGGGAGGAAGGGTAGAAAAAAAATTCTTTGTCAGGAGGGGGGGTGTCATAGAGACCAAGAATGTTTTTAATTATATGTCTACACCTGAACATTATTTCAGTTCTGTTATTTAACAACATACTGCAGTTCTTATAAGTTGCTATAGCCAGCTTCTCTTCCTGGCACAGCCTACAACTTCTACCACTTGTTCTATTCAGTTTGACATTTTTTTAAGATACTGCTTTCCAGATATGGGGATATTTTTCAGTGACTGTTTTATCCTAAACTCTTTCATATTTGTAGGAGTGTGTCATAAAATTATGCCAAATGCCAAGTGTAATATAGTATGCAGTGGAATACACACCATAAAAGGAGTGCTCAACACAATATAAACAAATCTGTTAAGGGTCTGGAAAAATACCATACCACAAAACACTAAATCATTTAAAAACAAAATATTGCTGTAAAAAGATTAAATCTAAAAATGATAAAACATGAAAGATTAAATCCTTTAAAAAAAATTAATCTTTAGAAAAATTTTAATAAAAGACCTCTAAATATTTCAATGATTTGAAATTTTCTGTACATGTACACAGATAGAGAAACAAGTATACACATGCGTACATCAGCAAAAAAATATTTTAAATAAAGCAAAATTACTTTACCTCTGGGCGTAATGGCCAACTCTGCTGTGGTTTCTCTTCGTCCAGCAGTATTTTCAGCGCGGCATATATATAAACCCCGATCAGAAAAGCGAACACGTATGACCCTCAAGACCTGAGCATTTTCAACAATTTCAAATCGTCCATTGTTTGGTAAAGGTTCATCTAAAATTACAGAAAAGATTGAAAGCTTTTATCCAAGGCTTCATCATGACTACTAACACATAATTCAAAATTGTATATATATATATATATATATATATATATATATATATAGAGAGAGAGAGAGAGAGAGAGAGATGTATGAATTAAATAAATAAATACAGACAAAAGGAGCCATACATGCATGCAATAATGTGCATATATAAATTTGCAAATAAATATTTTATTTAATTCTTGGTGTTAATAAAACAGTGTTCAGTGTGGTAATACAGAGCTATAAAGGATATATTAATATACATATTACCCTACACTGAAATTACAACTCTGAGTTTCATGTTCAATACAATCTTCAGATACTTATAATGGTGAGTAACTATTTGGGATGAACATGAAACTCAAAATCACACTTGTGATGTAAGGTAATATGTATATTTATTAACATATATATATATACATATATATATATATATATATATATAACTTTAAAAATCAGGAGATAAGTTTAATCCACTACCTTGGTTTCAACCATACAGTATATTAATACTACTGTTTCCGGATCTGATTCAACTCTGACCACTAATCTTTTACACATATATATATATATATATATATATGTATAAAATTACCAACTCACATAATAACTATATTTGAAAAAATTTCTATGGAATAAACAACAAACCTGGTATTGAACCCTCCTGTAATTGTGGATATAAAGAAAATTATCTAGTAGAGGGCAAATGCAGATCTACTAGGGTTATATATCAAGCAATCATTTCCTCCAAAGAAAATATGAAAAATTATGTTTACATTAGAATTTCCATTGGAGAATGGAAACAGAGATTTTATACCCATAGGCATTCTTTTAGCAACCCTAAATTAAAACACCAGACAGCTGTTTCTAAGAAATTTTTGGAATTGAAGGAGAAAGGGTTGAACTCACAGAGAGATTGTAAGATTATAAGTTCTGCATGTACTCCTAATAGTCTTAGAAATAGGTGTAATTTATGTTTAGAAAAAAAAATAAAAAAAATAAAATACAATAATCAAAGCCAACTATTAAATCAAAGGAATGAATTAGTATTAAAATGTCGACATAAAAACAAATTCAAATTTCCATAATATAGATTTTACTTTATTAGCTACTATATTTTTCTAACTGTTCAAATGTATAACTAATTCTAATTTCTATATTTCCATCTTTACACTATATTAATTATATTTTATAAATTTCCCCTTTTTTCACTTACACTTCTTTATCTATATATTTTAGGGTTATTTTTAAATATAACTTTATATTTTTAAGTATAACTTTATATTTTTTAGATATAACTTGTTTTTGATTTAACTTATCTTTAAAGTTAAAATAATTTTTATTTACTTTTTCATTTCTAAATGTATAATTTATCATATATTTTTAGTTCTAAATATTTTTTGTCTTTAATATAAGTGTTATGGTAATTTACCCATGCACGCATGGACTCTCCCAGCAATAAATAGGAGCAGGTATTGCCTTTTGGAGAGAGAAGTTTCCAACAGTCAGCTATGACAGTCGTACTGAACATTCTTGCTGTAACACTTTCGTTTGTATATGTTTGTATTACTGTTTCTGTTAATATATTTGTTTAACTCAATTCCTCTCTTGTGTCTTTATTTCTGGCCCTAACAAGGCCACAACAATAACCTATTGATTTTATATTAAATATTAATTTTTTTTAAATATAATTTTAATTAATTTTAATATAAATTATCTAAATATGGCTTATTTTTAATTTATTGAAATATATCTTATTTTTAAATATAACTTGTCTTTGGAAGAGATTTTATAAGTAGGATTTGTGTTTTTAAACATAATTTTATCTATATAATTTAAGGTTTTTTTTTTAAAGAAACCCTTTTTGTTCCTCTCCTAGTTTCCGATTAACATTTCATTCTTCATATAACCCCAATGAAATATTGAAATAGATAAATTCTGTATTAGTTTTTTGACTTTTTATTTTTATTTTTATAGCTACCACAGTTAAATTTCTAATTCCAACATGCATTAAGTCTATACTGGGGTTGAATAAGACCGACAAATTTTGTCAGTTGAAATAAGCCTATTCCCCATATGAGGTAATTTTTTATTTTATTGTGTACTAATTATTTGCTCTGTAATAATAAATACATTGAGCTCTTTTTGTGGATCAGTTTTAATATTTTATATTATTAGGATCCATTTGGATTATATACCAATGAATTTATTATCTTTATTGTATATATATATATATATATATATATATATATATATATAGTGCTGTTCGATAAAAATGACTCACCTGATTTTTTTACTAAATGTTCTCTTCTCTGATGAAACGAAAGTTGAGCTAAATTCAAAGGATAAGTGATCTAAAGTCCGAAGAAGAAGCTTTGAAAGCACTTTGAAGTTAGCAGTAAGTACTGTCAAGAATCCGTTCAGTATAATGTTCTGGGGATGCTTTTCTTTTCATGGAACTGGTTTCTTAAAACCTATTGAAGGAGTGAGCAGTATAAGAGAATTTTAGAGTCTTGTCTGCTCCCTTCTGCTGAAAGGGTGCAAATTGACCCCACAAGCTCATTTTTATGCAGGATAATGCTCCCTGTCACAAATCAAAATTGATGAAGGAATACTTTGATGAGAACCAGGTGAGTGTTATGACATGGGCACCCCAATCTCCTGACCTCAACCCCATAGAAAACTTATGAATCATGTTGCTCAACTGCTTTCTCAAGAGCCTGTACTTTATAATGCTTCATTTTGTCAGAAAAATATATGTATTCCAGAGCTACTACTCAAATATATATGTATGTATGTATGTATGTATGTATTTAATACATTTTCTGTTTAGAGGTTATTTTTATAAATACAATTTAAGTAAATACTCTGTTTTTAATTAAACAGTATTAATTACATTAACCAGCTTGAATACCCAAGAAATTTCGTAGAAAACATGCATTCTCTGGCAGGAAACAAACTTGTATTTCTGTATGAAAACCATCATTTGATCTGATGTGCTATACCATTCAGCTACAGAGAAGCGTCCAGTTTGCAAAGTTCAAATTACTGTTTACAGACACACAATCTTCGATGATTTTTCTCGATTGAATATATCTGCTGACAAAATGTATTTTAACATAAACAATAACAACATATAATGAAATAGATTAAGTCCAATAATTATTTAATATATTTTTGGTTTATACATTATTTTTATAGATACAATTTATTTAAGAAAATGCTCTGTTTTTAATTAAACAGTATTAATTACATTTATCGGCCTGAATGTATGTATATATATATACGTATGGAGGTATGTACGCATGTATATATGTATATATGTATGCATGTATGTATGTATGCATGTATGTATGTATGTATGCATGTATGTATGTATGTATGTATGTATGTATGTATGTATTACTGAAAGTTTGAAAATAGCAAAATAAAATAAAAAGACACCAAGATTAAGCCACCAGAGAAAAAGAAAAAGAGAAAAACAAGAACTATGAAGAAACTTCATGAGCTACTTCTTCTATGTGCCGTGATCATGGCTCTCCACAATTTCCTATCCTTTGTAGTACTTCATACTTTAAAACCTAAACCCTGTTCTGCTATCCATTTATTAAAGCTCACTAAGTGAGTTAACCATTGTTTTCCTCTGTTCCTCTTGCCTTCAATCAGTCCTTTGCGTATCAAATTTTCCAAGTCCACTTTCCTCAATATGTTTCCTAGAAATTTCAATTGTCTCTTTCTGATGTGAAGTATAAGTCTCCTTTTCATTTCCATTTTCTCTAAAACTTCATCATTACTTACATGTTCATTCCATGGTCTACTCAGCATCCTTGTATAGAACCATGTTTGTATTGCTTCAAATCTGTTCTTTATCTATGAGGAGAGCATCCAGCCTTCACTGCTATATAGGAGGACTTATATTACAAAACAGTTCACTACTCTTTTCTTTTTTGCTAACAAAATTTTCCTGTTTCTTAATACTTTACTTAGCTTTTAGAAGGCTTTTTTTGGCTATCACAATGCTCTTTCGCTTTTCAGTGTCTCACTTTCTGTCATCTGTTAAAACACATTGCAGATATTTAAATTGTTGTACTTGTTTGATCTTGGAAAGTACTAGAAATTTCCTGTAAGGAGACCAACCTAGAAAAAAGGTGGAATCCAATCCCAAAACATCAAAGACATAAAAACTTACCCATAAATCCAAGTTGCTATGAAGACCATCTGAAGATCAGATCACTCGATACAGTGAACTTAAAGTAATGATAGAGTTCTTGTGTTTCTGAAATTTGGGGATTGGATTTTACAGGTATATATATATATATATATATTTATATATATATATATATATATATATATATATATAAATTGTTTATTTAGGCAGCAATCCTTCTTTCATGCACATTTCATTGAATATGAATGGCTAAATGTATAGCAGAAAGTGCTCACATAAAAAGAACATTCGGACAGTTTTTATATAATTTATCATCCAAAAAGAAAAAATTATTAGATCGCATAAGAAATTGTATAAAAAACTAAATAAAAGCACCTTGTCTGTCATATTCAATGAAATATATATATATGGAGAAGCTTGGCTTCAAAGCAAAGGCTGAAAAAATAAAATAAAATGGGTATCTGTGGTGTGAGGGCTATTTCGCATTTCAGTCTGCCAACAAACTTTGGGTAACTGGAAAATAGTATAAGCTGAAACGTGCATTCCTTTGATGTCATTTTTATAACTACTGTATTTAAACTGAAAATATTTTATAATTAATGTAGTTGTTTAAATGGACAAACAATTTAGATTTGATTTCAGTGAAGTGATGGGAACTGAATTAGTCATAACTATTAATAACAACTTAATAATCAGTATAACAAAACTCATGGTACTCACTATCTTTTGACCAGGTGATGACAGGGACAGGGTTACCATCAGTAACACATCTAAATGCAACTGTTTCACCCTCAACAACTGTTTGGTCCTCTGGTGATTGCGTAAATGATGGTGGCACTGTAAAAAAAATTTTTTAAATAATTAAATTTCACAAATATCTGACAGCATTTTTCTGGTTAGTTATTCTTGTTTTAACTTTTACATAAAATAAAATGGATATGACTTGACATTTGTTTTTTTTAACTATTCACATATCTTAATTATATCAGCTTCTGCAAAAAGCTACTTACACCAGCAGCCAATTGGATAATGATTTAAGAAAATTGACGGATGATGAAAAATGGCATTGGAAACTGAGTATCCTGAAGAGGATAACAAGATATCTCTGGAGAATCTCTTTGTCTTGAATATTCTTACTGAGTGTTTAAATGTCTCTCTTTACTCTCTTGGAATCTTTTGTCTTGGACCCTCAGTAAGAATACCCATGTCAAAGGATTCTTTAGAAATATCTTGTTATCCTCTTCAAGGACACTCAGTTTACAATGCCATTATTGCCATCTATAAATTTTCATAGATCATTGTTCAATTTGCTGCCAGAGTAAGAAGACTCAAGACAAAGAAACTGAGTTCTATGGAGAGGATAATGAGATATCTCTAGAGATTCTCTTTGCCTTGGGCATACGTAGGGATGGGCCAAGACAAAGAAATTCTCTAGAGATATCTTGTTATCCACTCCAGGGCATTTAGTTTCTTTATCTTGGGTCTTCTTACTCTGGCAGCAAATTGGATAATGATTTAAGAAAATTGATAAATGCTGATAATGGCATTGGAACACTCAGTAAGAAGGCTCAAGACAAAGAGATTCTTTAAAGAGTAAAGAGAGATATTTAAACACTCAGTAAGAAGGCCCAAGACAGAGAGATTCTCTAGAGAGTGAAGAAAGATATTTAAACATTCAGAAAAACCCCAAAACAGAGAGATTCTCTATAAAGAGAGATATTTAAACACTCAGTAAGAAGGCCCAAGAAAAAGAAATTCTTTAAAGTGTAAAGAGAGATATTTAAACACTCAGTAAGAAGGCCTAAGATAGATTCTCTAGAGAGTGAAGAAAGATATTTAAACACTCAGAAGAAGCCCCAAGACAGAGAGATTCTCTATAAAGCGACATATTTAAACACTCAGTAAGAAGGTTCAAGGCAAAGAGATTCTCTAGAGAGTAAAGTGAGGTGGTTGAATCTAGAGAGATATAGAGTCAGAGTTTTTTTCTGGCCAAACATAAGATCTGGTCCATTATTCAGATGACACCTCCACTGCAAAATCCTGCAAGTGAAACCCTGGAAACAGGATTTATGTTTTCATTTCACAGTGGCATTATTTTTAATTGCTAGTGTCTTGTTTTCACATTTTTTGTTTGTGCAAAAAAAGGTATTGCAACAAAACATGGGTTGATTGGGAGTGGGAGCTTGATTGCAAGATACTGGCCGACCTGTTGAGATCCATTCTCTCTATCTCCTTCTTTCTTCTTCCAATAAATGTTGTTACTACAACTATGTCCCCCATAACCTAACTGAAACAGTCAGTAAAAAGAAACCTAAGAAATTTTCCACCATTCATTCAGCCTGTGTTGCAGTGTTGGGGGCCTGAGGAATTGCCAATAGGCCACAAGAAGCCAGATATAACACGCAATGCAACACAGACTTTAAATGATTTCATTATGGAAGAACTGACTTTTTCATCTGCCATTCAGCTTTTGCAACATAGTTCAAGTTACAGTTTAGAATGATATCAAATGTTAGAACTAATTTTACCCAAAGAAACGGACTTAAACTGAGAGGATTTATGCAACAGTTAGCATATCTCACTTTCTGTATACCCACCTCAAGGACAGGCACACCATACCCATGCTTCTCTTAATGGAAAGCATTTCAACAATATAACATTGGAAGTTCAACAGTGTTTATTTAATCAAAACACTGATGTTTATTTAACAATATCCAATCTAATGGTTAGAACAACCTTTTGATCAGTTAATGTTGCTCATACTGAGTGACAAGAGAGATCATTCTTTATCATACTGATTACAGTTCAAGTCAAAGACTGTCTATCTAGATCTTAGTCAAGTTTTTAACTCCTCTCCATCATGGTCAGTACATACCTCTTACCTTGCACAGTTATTCTTGATTCTGATGTAAAAACATTAGTGCCAGAAGTTGCAGTACATTGATAAACGCCTTCATCTTCCTGCTGGATATTGATAATGAGAAGAGCTCCAGAGGTTAGCAAGGTGATGCGTCCAGGAGATTCCAAGTTATGGCCATCTTTATTCCAACTGGTGGATAGAACAGAGCCACTATTAGCAGAACAAGCCAATTGGATTGTCTCTCCACGGACTGTTGTGATATCAGAACGGCGGGGAAAGAAACCTTCTGAATCTGAAATAAAACGATTAAATTTAATTTCTTAGTTTTTTTTTTCTTTTCTGCATAGATATTATGAATGTTTAAGGTTATTATGTTTTAAAATACAATTTTTGTATTTGATAGCATATTTCAATTTTAACAATATTAAAAAAAAATTGTTAGACAGTGCCTTGAATGTTACTAGAATTTCATCCATGTTTTTGGCACTACTTAAATAAACTGGATAAAAAAATTAACTCGTAAAAAATATAGAAAAATTTTCTGAGGAATAATTTTTGTAGGTTAGCATTCTTTAGACTTTCCTCAAGTTGCAACATTTGTCAAAAGGGAAAAATATTGATTTTTATCAATTTAGAAGAGGGGGTCCTATTTATAATACCAGAATAGTATCAAACTGATCCCTGACTTTTATAGAGTTATCTGCTCTTGGTCTTTTTTTTATTCTCAAATGTTGTGCCACGAAAATGTGTTTACATCATTGATATCTGCATATTTTTTATACATTTGTTAATTTATACAAGTTTTTGTTCTTTAATTAAAAATGTGATACTACTTTGTGGTAATAAAATAAGCACATCTCTCTCACTTGTAATCAGCCACTAAAATAAACAAAAATGTTTTCCACACTAAAGTTGAGTTCGTCAAATAAAGCTTCTACTTGAATTGTTGCTATATTGCATACTTTAAAAATGCATGCATCTGTTTGTTATTTAATGACAAAAAACTTTTTGTAAAAGAATGAAAAAAAATCTTACCAAACAATTGCCTGTTTAAAATATTTTCTTAAAATAAAATGCATAAGAACGTATATATGAACTTATTCTTTATTTAAAAGAAATCTGTTTGTAAAATAAAAAAGTATGCTTCCATATTTAACCTAGTAATTCCACCATTGCCAATCAGACCCCAAACTACTGTCAGTTATGATGAATGGATGTCCCTTGGGGAGGCTCCATGCCATGAGAGACAATTGGGCCTCAAACTTACCCCTGACAACTGGAACTCTTACATATGATCCATGCAGGAAAAATGGTCAGCTCCCTGTATTACTCCAGTAATTACCTGACCCCTCATGCTATCCTCTATCTTCACAAGAGCTACATGGTGCTAAAAATGGAGTAATGCTGTCAAATTTGGGCAGGAACTGCCCAGTCCTCACTTTCCAATCTTGATAGAGTTTTAAAGCACCTCTGAGTCCTTTTGGGTGATAAATTATTTACCACCTTCCAACCTCTCACACGCAGAATGTGGCAAGCCTTACGCTGCTCTATCACTACTTCCATGGAAAGTGCTCAGATAAACTGCATTCCTTGGTTCCATCAGGTTTAACCATTATGTTTAGAACCCACTGTGCCACTTACATTGTTGCAAACCACCCACATTCTCTCCGTATTCCATTGGTGGGAAGTCAGTTTCACTCAAACAACTTCTTCCCACAAACCACTGCTCTGTTGAACTGACTCCCAAGAGGATGTTTCCTTGATTGCTACAGTCTTAACCTGTTTAAGCCTAGGGTTAACCATTATCTCCCCATCCTATCCATATAAACAGCCTCTTAATGTAACCCTCTACCATGAGTGGCCCCCAGGCCTTGTACTGTAGAAAAATAATTCAAATATCAATCAAGAAAGCAGTTTCAAACTTGACATTTGTAAACAAACAGTAAACTCTGTAAAAGTCAGGGATCAATTTTACACAATATTGATATTATGAACTGAAACCTCACTTCTAAAATGAGAAAAAAGTGTTACAACCCAAAGAAAGTCTAAAGTATGCTAATCTGCCAAATTTAATCCCAAGAAAACATTTCCATATTTTTTGATGAATGAACCACTTTATTTAAGTAGGGCCATGTTTTTCTTGTATCTGGATCAGTTCAAAGAAATTTTCAGCATAGATAGATTTAGAATAAGGCAAAATTAAAATTTTGGATGTGTTAAAATAGGGGTACTCAACTGTTATATTCCATGCTAATATGGAATAAACAAACATGGTGGATAAATAGTAACAGGTTTATTGTTGAAGCCAGTACAACAAGCAAGGAAGTAATAGTTATATGCACAGTCATCTCAAGTCAGTACAGTTGTGTGCATGCTGGTATCACAAGGCTGCTAGTTTTGCAAATACTAGCTCGACTCCGACGTCTGCTGTCCTCACAGATACTAATAGGTGGTTACCACCTATAGTGCCACCACTCCTGGGGGTGGCAGCTTATTCCATCACATCATCAACCAGTGGGGAATTCCTCTTGGGCCACAGATCAGTAGACTGAAAATGTTAACTTTTGAACTCCACAATGTGATACAACCCACAATGTGCATCAGTTCATACAACTGAGGTCATGCTGGGTATTCTTTCCGTTAGCTTTTGTGTTTTTTGCCACTACAAAAATAATCCATGTAAATGTAGATGTACTAACAGGGAAAAGAATGAAGATTTTCAATAATATATGCATATTATTTGAAATGCACCTATTGAGTCAGACAATCATGGAAAGTGAGGGAATGACATGGACAACTGTTGAAGCTTAAATAAACATGGAATAATACAACACAAAATGTACGTTAACAAAATGTATTGAAACAAAGAATAGGTACACAATATTTACAGTTAGTTTGGTATATTCTTGGGAAGACTGTTCCTGCATAATGGGTTGACTAAATCGCAGTCGGGCAGAGTCTCTGGATTCAATTTCTTAATCTCTACTATCTTCCCCGTCTTCCGGTACCAACCCATATTTATATGGTCGGTAGTCCGCTTATGTAAATTAGGTGTATCATACACAACAACAACAAAATAAGAACAATCTACTATCCAAGTCAACACAGTGAAAATATTGTAATAACAAGAAAAATGAGAACTATAGTCCAGAAATAAATAATGTAAATAAAAATGGTTTTGTTATTTTCATGTATACAAAACAGAACCTCTTAACAGCACACCATAATTGGTGCCATAAAACAGTTTGGGATTAATCAGGATTGCTGAAAACTATTTTGAAAAGTCCTTTTAAGATCCTATGCTAAGCCAGAAATGAGAATTTGTGTTAATAAATGACAGAATCATTTACCTCTGCCAGATTGAACAAATGCCATTCAAACATATTATCTGAATTTCTTGCTTCGCAACTTCAATCCCTGTTGAAATGCAGTGATTTCAAGGAACTTTTCACAATTTGAATCAAAATGGAATTAAAATTAAAAAGATGAAATGATTAAATAAGTTCAATCATTTATCAATAAACTGAACACCTATACTTGATAGCAAAGATATACAGCCTTCAGTTCTCCAATGAATATTCTTTACATGAGACTCGGACTAAAATTATTTTCTCTTTGTTATAGACAAGCATATGGTTGCAAGAAAGAAATATAACAGCAGAAATAGATTTACGTGATTTATTTCAATAGGAACGTGTGGTTTTGGGACAGCTACCTTGTGGTATAGTTCATAGGCCGGCTTCGAATCTGGGTTGATCTCTCATAGTAGTTCTCGCTGGTTGGCGTGGTGCTACTGCTGCTGACCACTCAGTCTGACCGTGACAGGTCTCTTCCCTGGCCTCCTGTTGACTGCTGTTGTACTTCCGTGTGACCCCTTTTATGGTGTTTTTTTATGGCTTAACAGGCTCGAAAAACGATGCTAGTATAATTAGGAGAGAAGCATTTTTATTGGTCGAAAAATAGAAACACTTTAAAATATTATTTTATTTTTCGACCGAAACTCGTGCATTGGGAAAACGAAGATAATGGTCATTTTGTGACAGGGCCTTGTCCCGTTCACATCCGGCTCTCACTCTTAAGTATGTTAGTTTATTTGCCTGTAAATCAGCCGAGATATGTCTTATTTTATTTTATATCTCTTTACCTACCAAAAATGTTAGTAGGATTTGCAATAACTTAAACTGTAAGACGAATTGAAATATAGTAAAATTCTTTCTATAGACAGATTATCAAAATACAAGTTGTAGATGACTTACCTCGAAAATGAAATGACTGTCTTGAATGTGACTCAGATTGTGTCCTGGGTGATTATTTTGAACTATAGCTGAAAAGACAAAAAAATGGAAATTAACATTAGAGATAAATTTTGGGGTTGATGAATGAATAAAAAATGAATGAAAAAAGAATGAAAATATGAATAAAAAAAGGAACCAAAAATTATGCTATATTTTTTATCTTTTAACCCCCATTAATACAGGTGGTTGACAATAATGAATTAAAGATAATTTATTTTATTGAATAATTCATCGTATAGTGACATGTTTTTATTTACAAATGTCAAGTTTGAAACTGTGCTTATGTCATTGATAACTGCATATGGCTGTTACTGTCCTTTTTCTCAATTCAGTATGCAATTATCAATGACTTAAACAAAATTTGTAAGTAAAAGCAAACTACAGATAACTCTTTAACACTAGGATGGCCGAGGTGTCGTTTTCAACACCTTTAAATTTTCAACAAATTACTATGGAATAACTAGTTTTGGTTCGACGCTGAGGCTTATGGACAATTATTGAATTTTAGCAAAGATGCTTAACAGACTTAATTCTTTAAAAAATATTCAATGGAATAGCTGATATTTGAGGTTTTACCTTGAATGGCCGAGGTGTCGTTTTTGACACCTAGGCTATTTATAAACTAAATGCATTGAAAAATTTCTCACAAGCAATAATACTTGTGTTTATGTCCCCTATCTATCTATTTATCTATCTATCTATACACACACACATAATTTATATATATATATATATGTATATATATATATAATCACTTTCTTTCAGTATGAGGTATACTAATATTTGTGAATTTCTTTCCTGACTTGAATATTGAATATATTAGAGATGGCAGCTTCACAGCGTAATGTAAATATCCTTGTATTAAGACGCCAAGGATCAATTTGACACTGTATTTATATTATGAAAAGGACCCCTTCATCTGGTCTTCATGGATGACATGAAGTGGAAAGACTATATTGAATCCATTGCTAAGTCTGCTGCTAAGAAAGTTGGTTTATTGTGTTGTACTAGACAATCTTTCTCTCCAGAATTTATCTTGCATATCTATAAGTCTACCATTCATCCATGCTTTGAATATTGCTGCCACATATGGTCCAGTGCTCCTGCAGATTCTTGAAAAACTCCAGAGAAGAATCAGCAATATTATTGGTTCTGACTAGGCATCTCAACTTCAATCACTGATGTAAGATAACTTCACTCTGCCTTTTCTATAAATATTTTCATGGTAATTGTTTCGATGAGCTCTTTGCTATGGAACCTAGACTTTATGAATTTAATTAAGTGCAGTACTAGGTCAGCAACAAGGTTTCATCAATTTAAAGCTGAATTGTCTGGATGTAACCATAAGTTCTATACTAACAGTTTCTTTACTTACACTTCTCACTTGCAGAACACTCTTCTGGCTCCATGCTTTTCAACCAGCTTTGATCTTCAAAAATTTAAATGCAATGTCAATCATTATCTACTGTTTTCCTGATTACTCTTCTATTGTTCCCACTCCTTCATAATGTTTTCTGTTTTCTAATTATTTCTCACTCAGCAACCCCTTGTGTTTTAGTGGTTTTACTGCTTTGCAACAGTGGAGTAATGGATAGCAGCTCAGATTGAGGAATCGGAGAGCCGAATTCAAATTCCATTCAAAACCATTACATTCACTTACATACTAATACTCTTGGGAAAGGTATAGATCCTCCTCTTCTCCCTCCAGCTATGAGGAAATAGCAGGATAGATTAGGTTCTATAGCCTTGGATGGCAACTCATCTAGAAGGACAACTCTGAATTCAAAACCTACAGAGGGTCATTTGGGGACCTTGTGGCACGTAGTGCACCAGGTCCCTGTATTTGACTCTTCAAAAAGTGTGGTTGGTTCTGCACAAAGCCTTCACCACTATAATCAAATCATATGTGCTGGTGTCTGGCTGTCAGAAAGAAATGGCAACCTACAGTGGGAAAAAATCTGCTTTGTCAGTCATGTATTGAAAGATACATGATCACCTAGGCATGTATCAGGTGACTGACTGATGGGGTGGATTCAATTAAAAAACTAACAATTCAAGGAAAAAACAAACTCAAGGAAAACTTGTCAGAGTATGAGGTTCTTTTACTTCCTCCATAATTACCAGATTCTGCACTTTCAGATTTTCATTTGTTTCAATTGAAACATTCGATAAGTAACAAAATATGCAGAAAGCCAGATTTCTTTAAATGTGGAATAAAGAATCTGCCGTTGTTGAAAATGAAGGCGATTACATTTTTGATAAATGATACGCAAATAAATTTAACTCATATTTATTTATATACCACTAGCAGTAGAGCCCGGCGTTGCCCGGGGATGTAACAGTTAAAAAGATAGATCAAGTATCGACCATCATAAAGACTGAAAAATAAAATTGACAAAGATTATTGTTTAAGGTTGACGGACACGCATGTCTTAATTAGTTTTTTTTTTTTTTTTTTTTTTTTTACGAATTGGTCAAACCCAAACTCAAACAAAAACATTGTTTTCAGTCGTTATAAGTCTATCGATTGAATAGAACTTTATTATAAACAATTGTCTTGTAAATGGAATTTTTCGAGCATTCTGAATGTCAAAATAAAGAAAAAAGTGTGCAAGACAATAAGAAACACTACCTGCCAAAAAAAGTGAAGTTTTGTTGAAATCAGTTGAAAAATGTAGGAAATCTGAACTCACACACACACAACCTGGGTTTTATAAGTATAACTCGATATGAGTTGTCTCCCTTTCATTCTGGCGACAGAATCATGTTTTATCGTGTTTTCAAATTGATTTCATGCAAAAACAATTGTGTTTTTCCAAATTTTGGCACTGTCAGAACCATTGCAAGGTAATTTTACGTAGTCCTGTGAAGTTTTGTTGAAATCGGTTGAAAAATGTAGGAAATCCGATCCAATATATAAACGTACAGACACACACACAACCTGCGTTTTATAATAAGTAAGATTTCTCTCAAAATATAACTGCTTTCTGAACTCCCAAATATATGTATAAATAAAAAGAAAGACTTACAAGGTGTCACATTTGGCTCTAACAAGGCTTCCTGACTTTCTGTCTCTCCCGCTGTATTTCGAGCAAGACAGCTATAGAATCCACGGTCTTCTGTGCGTAGGTTCTGAATCATAAGGGAATCATCATCTAAGATGATATGCCTTGAACTCTGTTGGACAACTTCACTGAAAGAAACCAAAACCTGGAATTAACAGATAAAAAACACATTTCTTACAAACATGTTTCAGGTGGCCATGGTAATATTAGCCATTTCCTTATAAAGAAACATTCAGCATTTATTGACCAAGCATTTTAAATTTATTAAATCCCTCTATTAAAACTAACTTTCAGGAAAATATTTTTCAAGTCCAGTAGCTGTTATTCCAGCTGTTATTTAGTACTAAAAACATTGATAATTATATATCGCAACATAATAATATATTAAGCAAGCACACAAACAAAATACTAAATAATAATCCTACTTAAAGCCAATTCAACTGTCGTAAAAATGTAACCTGCCCATTAAATGGCTAGTGCATGACTAAAAGCATAATCTACAGAGCTAGGATCAGTTCAAACAATGATGTTAAATATTAATTTGGTTCCATAAGAACAACTGGAAATTGCGTTTTTATCATCACTGAATGACACTGAACAATATTAAATACAAAAACTGTACAACATTCTCAAAATATTTTTGACAATTAAAAAACAACTATAAGAACCCATCCATTATCTGAGATTTAATTGTGTAAGTTAAATCATACTATTGAAATGGAGACAGATGTAACTTTTGTTCGTTGGAGAAGCTTATTATATTAAAACACTTAAATAATCCTAACTTGCTGAACAGAAAAATTGAGTTGATGTCTACATGTCTACCTAAGAACAAACACATAGCCCTTTGATCCGGATTAAAATAGATTTCAAAATAGATTTTACAAATATTAATATATGTAACACCTATTAATATTCATAGAATCCATTATTAATAGCATTTTTTATATATTTATACACATATATAATTCCATATTATAGATCATACTAGATTAATTTATGATGTGTGTATATGTAATTTCACCTTTGTAAGTATAAGGCTAGGTTCCAAATGCATTAAATATATAGTCTTAACTTATAATTATGTTAACCTCATGAGAGATAAGTTTACTTTAATGATATATTCTAACGTTTTTATGCAAAAATGAGTTGTCCCCCTTGATACATAGTTACTTAAATTCAAACTTTTTAAAAAAATTATTTAAAATTTTGAATTTAAGAATTTGAACAATATAAATTATAAATAATTAGTTCAAATATTATAGGAAACAATGATAAAATTTTCTTAATGCATAATTTTAAATCAACACCATGAGAACGCAAATTTCATAACATTTAACAGTTTGTGAGCATTTTACACCTGAGGAGTGTGTGTTTGCATGAAACTCCTAGTCATGCTATTGATGCGGGATATTATGTATATTCACTAATATATACTTAATAGCTCTGTTATATCACATTGAGCACTGTTTTTATAATACCTGAGGAAAAATATATATGAACATGCAAGTATATGTGTTTTTATCATTATATATATATATATATATAGTTTTAAGGTATGCTATATTTATAGGTTAAAGTGCTCAATATCAAGGATAGAGCATATGTAAATATAAAAGGGGATGTTGAGAGTCAACACCCAGTGGTGACAGTCTGTTCCATGCTAAAATGCAAACTTCAGGCCATCTATTTCCAGTTGATAGCCTGAAGATTGTGTTTAAGGATGAAACAGACTGTTGCCACAAGACTGCCACCTATGAAGTAACTGCCACCTATGAAGTAAATCAATCATTTCTTTGGTTGTTCCAACTTAGCTCAAGGCTGGCTTGAGCTCAATCATTACTACAATGCTTATACTTACTTTCCCTGACTCCTAAGCCAAAAGGAAAATGGTCATACCCAAGAGACATTAAGAACTTTATTTCAGTTTATATTAAAAAAATGAATAAATGGTGCAGCCCATAGTAAAAACCCAAATTTTTGTCTGATTCTTGCTTTAATTGTTACATATGAACATGCACCATACCTAAAATATACACCAACATGCAACCTTTAAATCCCATAATACTATATACATGATAATATATAATAATATATGCCATACTGGTTATGAAGCCAAATAATTTGTGGTTCAGGGTCTCCCACAGCAGAACATCGGAAAAATACTGTCCGTCCAATGGCAAACCGAGCATTTTCAGGCTGGGTGATGAACTGGGGTTTCCCTGAAAGAAATTTACAAAAACATTAAATGAATTTCGTAGAGTAAAGATTTTTATAATTCATTTTTAATAGTTGTGGGTTATCCCCATATAGCTTTGACAGTTTTGCCAAGAAGTCATTACTAAATAACTCCTAGCCCCTATTACCAGACTATGTAGTAGTCTGAAATCAAAATAACTAATAATAAAAGAAAAAAGTTAAGCAATAAAAATACAGATAAGAATGGTAAGGATGAAAAAGTTAGATTATGAAAGTAATAGTTAAATAAATCTAGAATGCTCCCATCATGCATCAGAACAAGCTTTTTATCATCAAAAGAAAAAAAATCCAAAACTTTTTCTCTCTTAGATTTCAACTGTTGAAGGTGGTAGACATTCTGGACAGCCCCAGATCAACTATGTTGCCATCAACAGATAAGTAAAATTTCTTTATTTCTGCTTATATATATTCTTTAAAATATACAATCATTACTCTGAAATGTATACTAAAGCAATTTATCTGTTTCTTTTTATGCTTATTTCATTGTAACTCATATATGATTTTTTGTAATATTATAATACAATTGTGGTTATGTGATCCCTTTTTTAACCATACAAAAATACATGTATGCATAAGAATAACATTCAGACAAGGCTAATGTGTCACCAGAACACTACAACACAATTATAAAAACAAGACACTTCTTGTCTTCATGCTTTTATCTCTCTTTTCCTCCCAGCATGCTTTAGGGACAACACTGCTGATACCTTGTTCCCGAACATGGGGATATCTTTCCTTTTAGTGACTGTACTTCTCTCTCTCTCTCTCTCTATATATATATATATATGTGTGTGTGTGTGTGTGTGTGTGTGTGTGTGTATCTTTTTTCTCTCTCTTTCTCTTTTATACACACATACACACACACATGCAGGTATCGCTCAAACAATTCCTAACTTTTAATATTTTCTTTATGCATACTAATGTAATTTTCTCTCTTTTTACTCTGTAATTTAAAAACAAAAATACAAAATATCACCTTGTTGATATTCAGTCTATTTCCCTACACACTGTCAAGCTGCTATAAAAATGGGACACTTCTTGTCTTTCTCTCTCTTGATTGATTGATTCATTTCTTATGGTTTATCAACCTTTTGCAAGTTATTTAAAGCCAGAAAATATTTTTAGATTATAAGAATTTTTTTTGAGATAACAATGGATTAGTGATACAAATTTTACTAATTAACCTATAGCTGGGGGTCAGAAGATATGAATTCATACCTTTCTCAAAGGTATTTGCATGTAAGTGAATATAACAAACCCAACAGGAATTGGAATTCAGCTCTCTAATTATAAATTCCGCGCCATTATCCATTACACTGCCTGCACATCAAAGCTTACAGCATGTTGTATTCACAAGCATTCACCCATCTAGGTACTGACTAGTCTCAATGTTGCTTAACATCGTTGATCATGTGGGAACCAATGTCTCAACATGATGTGCCGTTAAGCCTTTCTCTTTTTTCATCCCATTCAATTTTTCTAAATAAAACACTGACGCCTTTATCCACTGTGCCATGTCCTTAAGGCATTGGTTAGATCCAGTGACAGGACCCAAAGAGTTGTGAGTTCAATACCTGGTTAAGGCAGTGGAGAACTTGGAGAGGTGAATTAACAGGAGATAACTGATAACTGACATCCATTAAACATGGCACATGGAACTAGAACAGTCTACCCCAGCGAGCAAAATAAAGGGTTCAGTTTGACATTCCAACCACCTGAAGAAGGCTGGAGCATACAACAGCCGAAACATTGTGATAAATATGACAACAAACATGAGGACAATAGTCTGAATAATGTAAATAGCCAACACTTTTACTCACTAGGCCATTACAGGCAATAATCAAGTAGTGCTAAAAATAGGAATTAGACAATATCCCTAGACATGGGCAGTGGAATGAGAACACTCTATCCCCATAGATTAAATAAAAGGCTCAGTTCAGAATTCCCTGTAGGTTACCCACTTCAATATGCACCAGGAGGCCAGAGGATGGAACAGCTAAAATGTTGTGATAAAAATAATGAAGTTGAGGAAAATAGTCCAAATATAAATAATGTAAAAAAAAAAGTAGTAGGTCTTATGCAAAAGCTGAGATTATGAGGGGAAATGAGGTTGATTTGACTCCATGGACAGGGAAAGTCCTAGCTGTAAAGGTCAGAATTGGTCAAACATGAGAATTGATCTCTTCTGTACTTACGGCATTGAAACTGGTCCGGCAAAAGTGAGGCAACTGACAATCCTTCTAAACTGGAAGGTTGCTCACAAGTAGCAATGATTTCTGTCTGCTCGTTTACCTGTTTTAATTTCTCTGACAGCCACAAAAGGTTGCAATCACAAACAAGGGGGTTATTTTCTAGTCGCCTGGGAAAATCAAAAAAAAAAAAAAAGAATTTCAAATGGCAAAATGAAATAAAAATATCAAACAAATATGATTCATAATCTAAAAATCAACATTTCCCTTGCTTGGAATTTCAAAATAGACCAGCTGTGATTATTATTTTTTTACAGTGACATTGTAATTCCAACCACCTTTTTTATTAAAATGAAAAGTTTTGTCCTACAATGCTTGCACCTTAAATTAAAGACTAGATTTATATAGACTTTCATAATTACTAATGATGCAGATGTAATAATACAAATCAAATGTTATACATTTGATGTTATTGAATTTATCTAGAACCAGAACTGTTGGGTGAGTGATAAGCAACTGAACAGAAAATAGTGGGTTATTAAAAATTTTGGTGGCGGATATAGGATTTTGTGTATTAAAAAGTATTTCAACATGTGCTACCTGAAAAAATATTTTAAGGAGATATGGGCCAAGCTGAAGAGGATCACCCAGAACTGCATCCGTTAGAAAGGTGCTGTTGCAGCCGTATGTTCCCCAAGGAATCAAGAGGCATAATATATGCAAAGAAACTGTATAAAAAAAACCCAAAAAAACAGGATACTAAGTGGGAATAGCTTGGTCACATTCCTAGATAAAATATAAATATCCCCACAACCAACAAATGTTTTGGTATTTTCTTTAGTTTCGAAAAGGGTTATTAACATTCATATAGTTCCTCAGATGAAATAACATTGTTTTCAAATATAAATCAGTTAAGAGAATAGCCTAAACAACAAAAAAATATTCACTGAATTTTTATTAGTTTCTAGTCGCATATATTCTTTTTAATTTTATAATTATGAACAAGAATTGTTTAATTTTTTGTCAACATTCACAATCCTAAACATAAAACTAACCTTGGCCATAAAATAAATTATATATACAGTTTTCAATGATCAAGTTTGTTTTCGTTTGTTCCTTAATACAGTAATATGTAGTAAGCAGCAGCTGCCATATAAGTCAGCATTATTTGTTACCTCCCTTTGGTATTTTTTATGGTATCATAAAACCAGTAACAAACTTTTATCAAACAATTTTGGTATGCTTTTAAATATTTACTAAACAGGTGGGTAGTTGAAAACTTTTCTATGTGAATGTGGGTGATGACACAAAAAAGGTTGGGGACCCCTGGTTTAGTACATTTTCTGTATGTCTTTGGTTTAAACACATGTTTCTTGGTGAAGACTATAGTAGAAAGTTTTACTTAATACAAAGGATAGGTTCACAGTAAGAAAACTGTAACTGGAAAAAAAAATGATATCTCTACCCGAGGCAGAATGCAACAATTCCTGTGACTTTCAGTCTCAAGCTGACACATCCCCACAATTGGCCAGGATACTGAGTGATGTGTATTTTTATTATCACCATTTCTAGACAGATTACCAGCCAAAACTGAAGAGTTTCTAACTGAACAGTTGTCCTTCTCCTAGACTGCTTACCAACCAAGGCTTAAGAGCTACTATCTGCTCATTAGCATACCAATCAGTTTTGAATTCAGAGTTTTCCTTCTCCCAAACTGGTCACCAACCAAGGCTTAAGAGCTTCTATCTGCCCATTAGCACAACCATCAGTAGCTTTCAAACAGTTTTGTCTACTTAATTTCAGTAACAGGTATGGTTTTTAGACACTTCCCAATGCTGTCACATGCTGAGATCATCTCCGCAAGACAATTTAATCAAGAAGTTACCTCCTTGACGAATCAATCAAAGTGAGATGCAAAGCCCAGGTCTCTTGGTTAGAAAATTAACCATCCAGCTATGCATCCACAAAGATTGATTACCTCTTGATAATCTCCAGACAGAAAATACAAGACTCAAGAGCCACTCAAGGTAGTCGTAAAGACATACAGAGAGGGAACACATTATGATGATTTATAGGATATTTTATAATCTTCCTAAACTCATATCTTCTGAGACATGTTACACAAATTTCCACCCCTGTCCAGATGTGAGCGCTCTGAAACCCAAGACTGAACTAAAAATTCTGTCAAGTGTGCATTGGCTCAGCACATACCTTCTGCTTTCTTCACACACCCAAAAAACATACAAGCCAAATTTTTGTACCTAATAGTACCCACTCCCACCTAAAGAAACGAAATAAAAATTGGAGCCAATCTGAGCCTAGGAAAAAGACATAAACGCCCATGAAAGGGACATCCCTGAATGAAACTTTGCCCTTTGGCAAAGCCTCGTCTGGGTTCCTCTCTACTCAAGGCAGAGAGTTCGACAGTTAAACAATCTATTCGACTCTTCCCGAAGTCTTCTGTCCTACTAATCTTATAGTAGGTGGAAGAGTCTAACATACACTCTTTAGAGGGAGGATACCACAACAACTTAGTCCACATGTTTTAATAATTTACATAAAATACTAAATTAAAATATTATAACTAAAAAAAAACTTTTTCATTTTTAAGTATTAAAATAACAATTACAAATTTATCCCACTTGCATATTCGAATTTAGAACACTGTAAATCAACAGTGAAAAAATATTTTGAATTTACTGAGCTACCGTATACACATCCACAGATATTTTAACCCCCTAAAGATGGTCTTAGATGAGACTGAAAGTACTTGGGCAAACAAAAATTTGAAAATTTGAAAGAAGATTTTAGAATTTTTCTACAGACACCAAGAAATTAATTTGTGAACTTGAAAGGATTAACACTAAAATAGACAGACATAATATGTCTAAATTATTTAACCAAACAGGCTTTAATAATTTAGTAAATGTTTATAAATTTATGAATAAAAAATTGTTTTCATATTTATTTCTTTATGAATTTGTAAATGATAAATATTGTATTGCATTAGTTTTAATAAAATTATATTAGTTTTTAGAATGTTGAAAACATAAAATTATTCTTGTAAATTAATAATCTAATAAATAAATGTATAAATTTACTTTCATCATATGTTTAGGTTTTATGACAATTCTAATCATTGCTTTTTAAAACAATAAACATTGCTAAAGAGTGAAGGTAGTTGAAATAAAAGTGATGCCAAGAGTAAAACGGTTGACACTGTACTTTTGTGGGCATGAAGGTCCATGTTTACCAAAAATACTTACAGTTTCCGCAGTCTAAACAAATTTGAGAAAACCCCCACAGGAAGATGCTTGATATAGTTGTCAAACAAATATCTGGAAATAAAACAAAATAAAATAAAAATGATGCTTATATTATTGTAGATAATTTAGTTTTGTTAAATATATATGCCTAATAAGTACACTTGGAATACCATTTTATATATGTAATTTTATTAAAACACTGGATGAGCGCATAGAGAAAAGTACTTTCTACAGAAAGTAGAATTGGCATGCAGAATTCAAAATCCAGTCAAGGCTGTTGCTTTTATTTCGGCATAATTGCCTTTATATGAAAGGCATGAATCCTTCTCTTCTCTACTCATCTAAGTGTTAATTGCAGGGTAGACTTGGTTAACATCCACTCTAGGGAGAGCACAACTCTAAATTCAAAAGCAGTTGGATATGGTGCTAGTAACGCCACTCTGTAAAAACCTATTTGCTACAGAAACTAAACCCTCGCATGGTGAAGCTGTAGCCCTATGCTCCCTAGGAGATTCTACAGGACCTTACAATGTTACATCCTCTAGAAGGACTTCATTAGACTAAAGTAATGTTTTTATTGATGGAATTATATATGTGTAGGTGGGGAGATATAAATGTAAGCTTCGGTTATAACTTATGCATAATAATATAATAATAACATAAGGTCATACTAGACAATTACTATTGCCAAAATCTATCGTATGCATTTATAAGTCGACCATCCATCCATGCATTGGATATTGCTGTTACATCTCATCTGGTGCCTCTGCTATGTATTTAGAGTTTCTTGATAAAAACCAAAGAAGAATCTACAATGTTATTGGTCCTGATCTGGCATATTGTCTTCAGTCACTTTCCCACCACTGGTCAGATCTACATTGAGTCAGTCGATCTTGATCTCGGTCGACCGGCTGATCGGTTGAACTCTCTGCCTTCGGGCGGGGAGGAACCCGAAAGAGGCTATGCCGAAGGGCGGATTCTCCTTCGGGGAGGTAAACCGACCCTGAACCCGTTAACACGGGTTCCATGGGCATATTTTTGGCCAAGCCCACGGGCTCGAAGATCCCATGTTAAACCAGCCTTGGGCCACATGATGCCCTCATGGGGGGGGGGGGTAGACTAAATATAGTCACTTTCCCACCACTGTAACGTACCTTCCCTGTGCATTTTCTATAAATATTTTCATGGTAATTGTTTTGATGAGCTTTCCTCTTTGGTACCTAGACTTTATGAATTTAAGCACAGTACTAGATTGGTAGCTAGTTCTCACCATTTTACAGTTGAAATGGCTAGATGCAACCATAAGTTCTATGCTAAAATTTTCTTTTCTCTCACTTCCAGCTTCTTGTTTTCCAGCCAACTTTGATTTTCAAAAATTTAAATGCAATGTCAATTGTTATCTAATGTCTTCTTGATTACTCTTCTTTTCTTTTGGTCTCTCTCCTTGATAATGTTTTTCATTTTTCTCATATTCTTTGACACTCGGCAGCCCCTTGCATCTTAGTGGCTTTATTGCCTTGCTTGGGACAAAATGATGAAATAGGGGTGAAATTTGTGTAGACAGTATATTTATTTATTTTCACCTACCAGCCTGAATATTCAAGGTATCTTATTAAAGAAAATTATACATGCTCCAAAAAGATTCAAACCTACATCACCCTGGGCAGGAAAAACCATCATTAGATTCAATGTGCTTTAGACCTCTCAGTTGATGATCAAGAAAAGCTGAAGAGTCCCTTTAAATGTAAAATTTCCAGGACTCTTAAAATATACATATCTACTCAGTTTCATATCCTAACGTAAACAAAGCACTTTCTAAAGAAGTGATGGATTCTTATTCATTAATCTGACAGATTTTATAACTTATGAATTATTTGTAATGAATGCACATTTTTGGGTATAAACTTCATTTACTTATTAAACAGCATATATATTTATTTTTCTCTACCAGTTTGAATATTTGAGAAATCTTATTAAATATAAATAAACGCTCTCCAGCAGGATTCAAATGCATATTTTTCTTGAAAAAGATTTCTCAAATATTCAAAACGGTAGACAAAAATAAATAAATATACTGTTTTACTGTTTAATAAATAAACAGAGCATCTACTCAAATCTCAAATATGAGCATCCACTAAAAAATAACATTTAAGTAATATATATATATATATATATATATATATATATATATATATATATAGGCAGCATATCTTCATTCAAGCATGTTTCAGTGAATAATATAGACATATTATGTTTATTTATTTTTATAATAATCCTTTCTAGTTCTTTAGCTGTCTTCTTGATGTTAACATGAAATTCATCAAAGAAGGTACCATCATTCTTGTTAACCCAATTACTTTCTATCTCCTCTGAGATCATCTTCAGGTGTAAATTATGATGACAAACTTAATGTAACTGCAATCATAAGGATGGTGATTTTTGTAAACATGCATGAATGTGCTCTGTTATAATTACTTTAAAATTAACTATTGTAGCTACAATATATATATATATATATATATATATATATATATACAGTGTAACCCGGATATAAGAAACCCGGATATAAGAGAGATTTTCACTGGTCCCAAATTAGAGCCTGTGTTAATGTATATAAAATAGACAAAACCCGGATATAAGAGAAACCCGGATATAAGAGACTTCTTCTCCGGTCCCGACAACTCTCTTATATCCGGGTTACACTGTATATATATATATATATGTACTCGACTCTCCCGTCAAATTCGACATATGAGGGTCAAGCAGATCAGTTCCCAGGAAACCGACAGCCCAACATCAGCACATGAGATTTGATTATAGGGGTGAAGGTTTCGTGCAGGACCATCCACATTTTTTGAAGGGCCGAATACAGAGACCTGGTGCACTACATGCCACAAGGTCCCCAAACGACCCTCCGCAGGTTTTGAATTCAGGTTAGTCCTTCTCCTAGACCACTTACCATCCAAGGCTATAGAACCCAGTCTGTCCTGCTATTTCCCCATAACTGGAGGGAGAAGAGGATTCATACCTTTCCCAAGGGTATTAGCATGTAAGTGAATGTAATGGATTCAACTGAAATTTGAACTCGGCTCTCCGATTCCTCAATCCAAACCGCTATCAATTACACTACCATGCCTCCAATATGCTAGAATTCACCCTCTCTCTCAGCTGAGTGCTGATGGCTTAGGAGTGTAAACTCCAATGGACATCAAATTGGTTGGGTTTCAATCCTGGCTTGAAGCATTTGGATGTCTAGTCACATTTTTGAGCTGTGAAATAGGACTGTATGTGGATGACATACATACATATATATATATATATATATATATATATATATATATATATATATATATGTATGTATGTATGTATGTATATATATATATATACAGAGTGCGATGAGTAAATAGTTACCATTTTATATTTCTAATTCTGCGGATGTGTGTTGTTTGTTTTTGATTTTGTTGATTGCACAGTATAGTTGAGTCAGTTGGGCACCTTCTGTGGGAAAAAGAGCATCATGATGCAATTCACTCGACCAGAAATTTGGAAATGGCATGCTGTACAACTTGGCATTTCAGGTGTTTGAGTGTCAAGCTGAGAACAGTGCAGAGGATTTGGAAAGAGTTGGATGAGTCTAATGGTGATTACAAAGGCATGGAAGCTCAGAAAACTTATTCTGATCATTCTGATAAGAAAAGAAATCCCGAATTTATTGGTGGGGGCTCAGACTCAACACAAAGGCATACATCAAGTACCTTGAGGAGGTAATGCTGCTCTAGGTCAAAAGGGGGACTGCTGGAAGACCTTATGTCTGGCAACATGACTCTGCACCATGCCACACAAGCAGGAGATCTAAGTCATGGCTGTCAGACAATTTCTGTGACCATATCACATAACTCCTCAGACTAAAACCTTCTTGATTATTGTGTGTGGTGTGCAGTTGAGTGAGAGACCAACAAAATTCTTAGTAACATGAAAGATGAACTAAAGGCAAGGTTTATGGCAGCATTCACCAACTTAAACAAGGAGATTGTCCAGAAGATTTGCAGGAGATTCTGAAGTTGTCTGGAATCTGTGGTTGAAGTCAATGGCAATTTTATTAAATTAATTTACTGTTTATTATTTGAAGATATTTTTGTGTAATTTTGACAAATATATCAGTGAAAATGAGATGTCAGTATTATTTTTATTTTTACGTAATTTAGATGACAATTTACCCATCGCATCGTATGTATGTATATATATATATATATATATATATATATATATATATATATATATATATATATATATATAAATGACACGTTCAGTGGAGGGATGGGCATATTCAACAAAAATCAAAAATCGCTTTATACATTGCAAACTATTCATTATATCATATACAAGTATTTTACAAAAAATTAGAGCAGATTACACAATATTTCAAGCTCAATTTAAGTTTATTGTTAGGTAGCCATGTAATGAGAATGAGGCAACATAAATCGTAGATTTGTCTGCGAAATATCATTACATTATTGTTACATATAATTGTAGTGAAATCATTAAGATTTTTTGTCAAAAGCATTTTATTTTTGGTTGTATATTAATTTAAAATATTCCTTTTTACAGGCTTTATTTTTTAAATGGAATAAGATCATTCTAAATTTCAGAAATCCACTATTGCCCATCAAAATGACTGGAAGAAAGTGATCTAAAAACAACAATGGAAAAGAGAGGTAACAAAGCGTAAATGAAATAACCCCAGTTTGTTCAACTTGGGAAACTTAGCATTGCAGCCAAAAAATACTGCCAATAACAAAGGAGAAAATTAAAAATACCTAATAGCATCAAAATTTATATTATTTTTATTTATTTGTTATGTAACTAAATACATAATTGTCACAATGTTTCCGTAAAATTTGGTATTTCCTGTAATAAATTCTTAAATATTATTGTTGTTATTATTTTACTTTTAAGTGTAAGGTAGTTCAACATTTACAATTCCTTACAGCTAACCATAAAAAGAAATGTGGATCAAAACTTCCTAAAACCTTCGAGAGCGTATTGCTGCAAAATTATAAAATGTTAAATACGCCCCTCCTCCGCAGAACACTTCATATATTCTAATACATATAATATATATTATTACATAACAATTCAGTACTCTCAGTACTTTTTCTACGATTTTGAATCAAGAGTTATCTTTCTTTGACTCTGGTTTCCTCACCAAATTAGAGTCGAGTCTTTTGTTTTGTTTTATCTCCAGGTGGAGATAGAAATGTTCATGCCGTTCCCAAATGCGTAAGTATAAAATGAAGGAAACAGCCTCAGTTGAAATTTGAACCTGACATGACAATTCCATCTTCTGCATCAATAACTGTTACACAACTTACACATCCCTAATTAACATACACATTCATAATAAAAAAAATAACTAAATACAGCAAAATAAAAAATTGTTTCCTTTGCTATCTTGTTCACATTGTTAACTTGAATGGGAGAAATTTCCTGATAATACATTACCAAGTTGCTCCTCCTTCTTTTTTGATTCTATTATCATTGTCCTGTAAACGTTCAAGATTGCAGGCATCAACTTCCAATTTATTTTTCAGATATATATCCACCCTTTTTTCGCTAAAATTACAATATTTTCATATCTGAAGTGAATACACTTGCCAATTCCATACTCTCCATAACTTTTTCACTTAACTATTTTTTTAGTTAACCAGTTTTAGTGATTATTAAACAATTCTTACAGTTGTTCCAGTTTGTTCACGTGATTAAATGTTCCATTTTCAATAGTTTCAATCTGGTTTTTATGCAAATATCTGAAAAGAGAAAAAGTACGATTAAGAATACATCACAGCAGAGCAACACAAAAAACAGGCGTTAAATTGCAATTTTGTAACATTCTATTATTCAGTAAATAATCCCATTTTAGAAAGAAACATAAAATATAGCTGTAAAGATATGAAAATAAGATATGAAAAATAACAAAGAAATAACATAAAGATTTTAAAATAACATAAGTCATGAAAATATATATATATAAATATGTCTGTAAAGATATTAAAGGAAATATTAAGTTTGATATGACAGTGCACATACTTTAATTAAAAACTGGCTGGTCGATTATTCTTTTTTGGGAGAACAATCCACCTGGAACATGATTTTTCCAACCAACCCTTTTATTCTGTACTCAGGAAATTTAATTCCAGACCCTTAATTTAGACTGCAATAATTCTAAGACAAAGTGCTTAATTTGAATATTTATTAAAAAGGATAGTTGGAATAAGGATGTCCCGAGTAGATTTTTCTCAAAAAAAAAACAATAAAATAAAATAAAAAAAATAATCATCCCGGCCCGTCTATTTGATATTCAAAGTTAACTCAAATGTTGGCAAGCAGGCAGGCAAATGTAAGACAAGGGAGATAACTTAGATTAACAATAAATAAGATAAAGGGAGATAAATGAATATCTTTGAAGAACATTTGCATTCTTTTTTCTTATTTATTTATTTTTAATCATTTAATCAATTTTTTCTTATTTATTTATTTTTTAATTATTTTTTCCTATTTATTCATTTTTTTAATCATTTAATCAACTTCTTTTCCTATTTATTCATTTAATCATTTAATCAAACAAGGCAATAAAGCCACTAAAACACAAGGAATTACTGAGTGTTAGAGAATATGAGGAAAAAAAACTATTAATGAGAACAAATAAAAGGACATGAATTAAGAAGATACAAGATAACAATTGAAATTGCATAGATTTTTGAAGATCAACACTAACTGGGAAGCAAGAAGTCAGTTCTACAAGTGAGAAGTGAGATTAACCAGGTCTTCTCTTTCACAATTTTTAACCTGATACACATTTATTAAAAATGTAATCTTTTAATGTTATGAAAAACTGATTAAGCATTTTTATTCATCTCAGATGAGCAGACAGTTTTGACAATGGAGCATTTACAGAGAGTCCTGTAGAGAAAAAAAAAAAAAAAAAAGCGATTATCTCCCTTTGATAGAGATAAAATCACATAGGTACTGTGATGACTACTTAGTGATGTCACTTCATTGTGTGACAAAAGTGGTCAGTCAGTCAGTCCTACAGTCTTGGTTATATCAGCCTCCTCCAAATACAAATCCATATGCTGTTTTCCTATGTTAATATATCTTTACCAGATACAGAAAATAACTCTGGCTCACAGTCCTCATGTTGGGAAAACATAAATATGGCTTTTCCAGAAACACAGAGGGATATCTGTCAGCTCCAGTTCCTGTTAAGTTCCATTATACATAAGACTCTCTCTTTTCATCCTCTTTTCACTCTGCTTGATGCTGCATGAATGTTATAATTTTTTGTTTGGGATACATGTAAAAATATGTATATGTAATTTTGTGTGCAACTTAGAGGCATACAACTCTCTGAAAACCAAGCATGTTTGTCATTCGTTTTCTTTCAGCCATTCTGTTCTGTTTATTAAATACAGTGTTATTATATCATGGATATAATAATGCCCATAATGGGGGAAATGAAATGATAGTATAAACCTTTCTTCTATAGCACACCCATAGTACTTTTATGGAAAATATAGCAATTTTTTTTTTATGTTTAACAAGGGGTTGGGATATGGCCAAGTGATTAGAACATGAGAATGTAATTTCCAACCATGAGACCTGGGTTCAAATCTCACTATGATTGACTTAGCGGAGAGGTGATTTCATGATGTTATTGGCAAGATTAGATAATCCAACACATGGTACATTTGGAAAGTGCCTGAAAACTGTTGCAAGGGTTGATACAAGCCTTGTGAACAAAAACTGAATAGATAGAACTGTTTAGAAGCTGCTTATTGTTGTACTAGCTTGTAAGTCACAAGTCATCATTACAGTCATATATATATATATATATATATATATATATATATATATATAACAATAAGATCACACAGTGAGTGTTGGTGTTAATAAAATAGTGCTTGATGCAATATAGCAGAGCTATACACTATATATTAATAAATATACATAGTTATCCTCATCGCTAACATGACTCAGAATTTCAAACGCAATCTCATCACCTGAAGATGGCATTATGCATGAAACTTCACATCATGCTAGTGAGGATAAATATGTATATTTATTAATATATATATATATATATATATATATATATTGCAAAGAGGAACGATCAATTAGTTTTTTGTTTTTTTTTATACCCTGCCTGGTGGCAAATGCTGCTGGTGGCACCTGGGGTGGCGGTCCCGCCATAGCCACTGAAACCGTGATATCACCCCTGGTCGGCGGCTGATGAAGACAGGGTATCGCACGTGCTAACACATGTTGTATGTTAAAAAAAAAAAATATATATATATATATATATATGTGTGTGTGTGTGGGAGGTATTTCTGCTGCACCCTGTATATGTACACTATAGGTATGCATTCCCTTAAGAAAAACACCTTAAAATGAGATATTTTGTAGTTTTTAAGTAAAAGATAAAATGTAAGTACCTACAGTGTATTTTCTTCTATTTTTCAGTCTCTCCCCAGGCTCCTCTTACTAACAAAAAGTTCAAATTTGGATTCGTCTTTTTAATAAAGAAAACAAAATATGATGCTGTTGTATGATTATTTTTTATTGCTAAGTGCCTATTTCTTTGTCAAAATAAAAGCAAATACACTGTAGTTACTGAAATTTTATCTCACACTTTAAAAGATTATAAAAATATCTCATCTAACATGTTTTTTAAAGAAATGCAGGGTGGCTCCAAACTTTTGACCTGTAGTGTTGTATATATATATGTATATATAGTATAAAATGTAAGAAAGATACATATATTTCATTGGCTTCAAGTTTCTTGTGTTCACACATTTTGGCGGGAGCGGACATACAATTGTCATGCAGTGGAAAAGGGCAGGGAACTTGATTAATCAAGTTTCCTGTGCTTTCTCACTGTGTCACAGAAACAAGAGAAATATCATTTTTATGCATATTTTTTTATATTTTCTATTAAGCAATATATATTCTTTATCTATGTTGGGATACAAAAGGTGATTATCTCCCTTTGATCAAGAAGAAGTCAAATCAGTCATGTAATGGCTGTTTACTAATGTCATTTAATACTTAGGTGAAAATGGTCAATGAATGAAACTGAATAGTTGCTTCCAGGAATGAAACTGAACAGTTGCTTGTTTAACCTGGGCCACTCAGCCCAGGTTGAGGCTAAATGTGCCTCCCCTCAGCCACGTGTTGTAGCTTATGGTACCATTTTCCCATGGAAATATATCTACATCAGATATAGAAAATATCTAGCTCACAGTCTTCATGTTGGAAAAAACCCAGGAATCACCATTTCTCAAATGTGGAATATGTTCTCATTAGTGACATAGCAGATGAATCCAGTCCACTTGAATCTGGAATCCTAAACATAGCTTCTCCTGAAATACAGAAGAATCTCTGGCAGACCCAATTCTCATTGGGAATTATTGCATGTAAGACTCTCTTATTTCATCACTCTGTTTTTTGTGTAGATACATGTTATAGTTTCTCTGTGTGGGACATATGTAACCTAGACAGTATAAATTTAAGTGAAGTACTAAATTAGTGGCAAGGTCTCATCATTTTACAGATGTAACCATAAGTTCTATGCTAACAGTTTCTTATTTCACACTTCTCACTTATGGAACTCTCTTCCTACCTCTTGCTTCCCAGTTAACTTTGATCTTCAAAAATTTAAATGCAATGTCAATCATTATCTTCTGTCTTCTTAATTCTTGTTCTTTTAATGTATTTTCTTCTTAATAGTATACTTTTCTCACATTCTCTACCACTCCTGTAATCACTTGTATCTTAGTGGCATTTTTGCCCTGCTTGGGGTAAAATGATTAAAAAAATATATATATCTATATAATTTTTTATATGACTTAGCAGTAGAACTCTCTCTGAGAACAAAGTTCCTTTTCCTTTCAGGCATTCCACAGTCCATGAAATAAGGTGTTATCATATCATTGATGTAATAATGCCCATAATAGGGGAAATGGAGGGACTTGTGTGATCCAGTGACTCTGTGAAAGATGCTGTCGGGAGTTCTAAACTTCTGGTAGTGCCACCCTTGGCAGGAAGGTCAAATACAGAGACCCAGACTAAGCACAACTAATCCCCAAAACCCCAAAGGTGGAACAAGCAGATGACAATTACAACAGAACTCAACAGATGAAACATCTGATGAAGAGGGATGCACATGATGGATATGCTACAGAAGGTGCCACTTGAAATTATAACAGAGTTAGCAACAGTCTGTTACAATTTCATAACTGGATTCTGCATGTCTCATTCCATATTTGCCACAGAGGAAGGTAATGAAATGAAGTGTGTGGATCACTTCTGGGTAAGTTGAAGTCCACCTTACAAATTCATGCCATCAGCATTTTTTTCTACTCTCATTTTCCTTCACCTCTATCCAACACTTTCAAAGTCAAACAGTGATAGAGAATGGATGACAGGAGCAGGTTTTGGTGAAACTGGAAACTTCAAGTCCTGAACCTAGATGTTGGCAGCAAATTTAGTCACCAGCACCATCATCAAAAAAGGAAAAGAAGAAATTAAATTCTTGGATCTGAGATAAAGCCAACAATGAAATAGTTTTAGTCAATCCCTAAAATGATAAGATTTTTATGTAAAATCAACAAAGTAAGATGATTCCATAAGATCAAAAGTAGGCTAAGCTTTTATATTTACTTATCAGTTTCTGAGAGAATAGAAATAATTTAAGCAAGTAAAAGAACATTTCTAAATAAAGCCATGTGCAATTTTAGAAAGAGAATAAAATAATACTGTTTTAACATTTCAATACTTACAAGTAACGTAATTCTGGTAATCCAACAAATGCATCTCGGGATAAATATCCAATCTCATTATGATTTAATAACCTGGAATATAAAAGATTAAAAATAAAAATTATTTTTGTTGTCAATTCTCAAGGATAAAGAAAATGTATAAATTCACTTTCATATGTTTAGGTTTTATTACAATTCTAATCATTGCTTTTTAAAACAATACACATTGCTAAAAAGTGAAGGTCGTTAAAATAAAAGCAGTGTCATAAGAAAAGAAAAACGTCCTTTTGACACTCTCTTTCTAAAAGAAAACATTTTATTTTCATTCAGATACACAGCATTACAGACTAAGCTTAAACAACACCCCCAACAGACAATATAATAGGTTGTATCGTATGCTACTGTATGTGGCAACACTGGTTTGGAAATAGCAAGTTTGAGTGTTAGTTTGTTTATAACATGAATACTTGGGATTGACATTTCAATGTCTTTAAAATATATATATATAGAGAGAGAGAGATAATATTAGTAGTAAATATACACATACATATGCAAAATATATAAATGTATTAGACATCCGACAACATTCATATTTCTCTCACTTAAACTATCTTCAACTCACCTCTCTAAAACTCCTCTCTGTTAAGTTTTAATCTCCCACCTTCTCTTGTCTGTTACCCCTCTCTTTAGCTCTAACATTCATCCCACACTCTCATACATACACTCTCTCTAATTTCTATTTTTATTTCTGGAGTTGTTTTTTCTGTTTTCTTTTTGAATTTGTAGGTCTGATGAATTGGATCGTATTTATGATTCCAATGGAATAAATTATGACCATGGAATATTAGTGTTTAAGCCTTTTTATTTTATATATATATATATATATATATATACAGCAAGTAATGTAAGATTTGTAAAGATGCATGTCTTTAAAATGTACTTATGCATCAGCTGGAAGCAATGTAAGTTTTGTAAAATCTATATATCTTGAAAACATATATATATATATATATATATATATATATATATATATAATTTTATACTCTGCTTCAACCTAGGTCTCTGTTATATTCCATGCTAATAGGAATATATACTTGCCAAACACAGTGGATAAAATAAGTAAAGGTTTATTGCAAAAACCAATACAATAAGAATAAAGATAACAGTTATGCACAAGGTTGTCGCAAGTCAATCCAGTAGTGAGTGCTACTATTGGAAGGTCGGTAGTTCTCGTATAAGTCTGAATCGTACTCAACAGATCCCAGCTAGTCTCTGTAGTCTGTTGATTTACAGATACTTATAGGTAGTTACTACCTATAGTGTAGTCAATCATGGGGCAGCTGACAGGTTATTCCATTACATCAGTCTTTTTCAGATTCACTCTACATCAAAAGCAGTTGGCTGGACGTGAACTCAAAGAAAGCAAAACCAAAAATAAAAAGTCATCCTCTGCACAGGGGCTCCAAACATCACAATCGACTAAGAAAACAAATCTCCTCAAAAAAATAAATAAAATACAATATAGAAGGAGCCAATCATGAATAAAAAAGCAAAAACATGACAAAAAAATGATGAGTCATGATCCACCCAATCTACTTTTAAGAATGCCACTCAAAATGTTGTATGCATTTGTGGTGAATAGGCAAGTTGTCTATATATAAAATAGGATATAAAAGCCTGCAAAAACAAACACCACTAATATATTTCAGGACAGTGATGGAGATATATGAGTTGGTCATACATGTGTTATTGCCATCCAGACATTTTCTCTTATCAGAAATAAAATAGTAAATTATTGTTTGCCATGTCAATCCAACCAAACTTTTTAAAAATAAAATGCATAAATAAAAAATAATTTACTGGAAACTTTGCTTTTTTGGAGTTTTTTTTAGAAGTATTTTAAAATTATAGCTTTCCATTTAGCTTATGTTTAACCAAATATACGTAATATATATGAATTAAATATACATAGAATATGTAAATGAAAACCACTGATTCAAATTCCATGTTTTTTTAGTCACTCAACCAAAGGCTGCATTAATTTATTCTTTCTTTTTAAACTTTAAATCTCTGATGACTTCTGTTTAAACCCATTTCCTCTACATTGACATTTAGTCTTGCGATATGTTTAATGAAATCTCAGGTGAATTCAAAGTTTTTAATGTATATGTACATGGAAAAAGAATCATTGCATAGTTCAGTTTTTAAGACTAGACATTTTTTTAATGTTTTACGCCTACATGAGGTGGAAAGAGTATAATGAATCAATTGCTAAGTTTGCTGCTAGGAAAGTTGGTTCACTGTGTCAAGCTAGACAATTTTTCTCACCAGCTAGACAATTTTTCTCACCAGAATCTATCTTACACATTTATAAATCTACCATTTGCCCATACATTGAATATTTATAAGACTGCCATTCATCCTTGCTTTGAATATTGCTGCTACATCTGATCTGGTGCTCCTGTTATATATTTAAAGATTGTTGATAAAATTCAAAGAAGAATCTGCAATGTTATTGGTCCTGACCTAGCATCTCGCCTTCAGTCACTTCCCCATCGCCATAACATAACTTCCCTGTGCCTTTTCTATAAATATTTTCAGGGTAATTTTCCTGATTATTTTCCCTATTTTGTACCTAAACTTTATGAATTTAAGCATAGTACTAGACTGGCGGAGGAGGAGGCATGGTGTAGTAATGGATATTGGCTGGGATTGAAGATTCGGAGAGACGAGTTCAAATTCTAGTTGAATCCATTACATTCACTTATGTGCTAATACCCTTGGGAAAGGTATGAATCCTCTTCTTCTCCCCCAGCTATTGGTAAATAGCAGGACAGACCGAGTTCTATAGCTTTGGATGGCAACTGGTCTACTGCAGAAAGAAATGGCAACTTACTGTAGGAAAAAAAATCTGCCTCGTCAGTCATGTATTGAAAGATACATGATCACCTAAGAATGTTTCATGTATGGCACATAACTGACTGACTAGATTGGCAGCAAGGTCTTATCATTTTACAGTTGAAATGGCTAGATGTATCTGTAAGTTTTGTGCTAATAGTTTTTCACTCGGACTTATCACTTGTGGAGCACTCTTCTCACTTCTTGCTTTCCTGTGAACTTCAAAAATCTTCAAAAATTTAAATGCACTGTAAATCGTTATCTTCTGTCTTCTTAATTCCTCTTCTTTTATTCTTATTTCTCCTTAATAGTATATTTTTCTCATATTCTCTAACACTCAGTAACCTCTTGTATCTTAGTGGCTTTATTACCTTACTGAGACTGAAATGATTAAAAAAGTCACATTTTACAATATTTTATGATAATTTGAACTGTTATCCACCCTTCAGTACTTAGGAACTATCCCTAAAATTATAACCGTAGCTGAAATATGATCTTAAAATATACTTTGCCTTGATTTACATTCTATCAAATATCAATGGTCTAAATTAGCAAAATGCTACAATTGAATTGATTTGGGTGCTTTCCCTTGTTAGTTTTATAGGAAGTATTTGTCTTATTAATATCTTGTGAATTCTTTTACTACCTACACATTATCAAAATATCGTGAGTCTTGTAAAGCAGTATACTCATCAGAGCATCACCTGTACTGTCACTGTAACATCAGCCCATCCCTCTTCACTCTGGTTCAGAATTTTCTAGTGTGCATCCTAAGGAAAAAGAGCCTAGTCTGTCCTGTTATTTAACCCATACTTGGGGGAAGTGGATTCATGCCCTTTCCAAGGGGCATTAGTACAATGTGAATGAAACACAATCATGCAGGAATTGACCTTAACAAGCCAAATTCACTATTTGTGCCTCCACATATCACAGTCACATACTATGACTGGCTACTCATTTTTGAACACAGTAATCTGCCAGGGTGGCTAGCAAATTCCTATTACAGATGCCAACACAACCCAAAAAGTCCACTAGTGGTTCATACTGCAACTATGCTGATAAGAACTTAGTTACAGTTTCTGGGAGAGAGAGAGAGAGAGCGTATAATCTGGTTTAAACAAAGGCTGCATACTCAAATCCTCGGACACGATGACTTGTGACTTTGTGCTAGCACAACCACTAAATAGTTCTGTCTACCCAATTTCACTCTTTCACATGGCCAGAAAGTGAATGTTTTGACCACTCAGCCATGCATCCATATATGGTCAATTGTCAGGGAGGTGACTTCATGATTATATCAGCATGGGGAGGTGATTCCAGCATCTTTGGAAAGTGCCTGAAAACCATACCATTGTCTAATACTAAGTCTTGTGAGTGAAACTGGATATTCAGAAACAAATGGAAACAGTAAATAGGAGTGCTTGTTTAAAGTGGCAAGTCGTTGTTTGGCCACAGAATAAAAAACAAGTATAGCAACTCAAACACATGTACCCATCATGTCTCACATGGTCAAACTGACAGTAGCCCATTTTGGCTGAAAAAGACGTTTTCCTGATGAAAAAAGGGATACAGGTTCGATTCCTGTTAGAGTCACAGGTTTTCTTTAGTAGAACTTTTCAATCTAGGCCAAGTGTTATTAATTTCACTGTTTAAGAAAATAAAAATCAACGACAGTAACACAAACACATGTACCCACCAAAAAGAATGTTTATTGTAAAAAGAAATAATGCTGAATAAAAAAAAAAAACCTTTCATCGATTCACACAAGTTATTCAGGTAGGTGGTCTCCACCTGTCACTTTTAACTTTGATACACCCTGTGAGTATCTAATACTCCAAGCACTCCTTCCTCATTATATGTCAAAGAAATTCCAGCTCTCTCTTTCTGATTCTGATTCTAAGTGTTCTTTTTGTTTCCTTAAGACATTTTCATTGCTTGCATGCTCCATCCATGGTATTATCAACATCCTTCTGTAGAACAATAATTTTTTTTGCCTCCAGGTTTCTCTTCACTTGTGAGGAAATTGTCCAGTGTTCACTTTCATATAGGAAGACTGATATTACAAAACAGTTTCAGTATTCTTTTTTTGTTTCTAAAGAAAATTTGGAAAACATGGACAAACATGCCTGCAATAAGACAAAGCGTCAAAAGGATGGTTTTTCCCATGACACTATCTTCACTCTTCAGCAATGTTT